TCAGCAGTGAGTAAATTCATAATTATTTTCTGGTTTGAAAGCAGGTCAGGAGGAATTGTCACAAATGCTAGCAGGGAGGGCATTGCAGTATTCTGGGGACTTGTAGAGTGGGGAGTCTTTACAGCGGTCGGTTCTGGTGGATGGGAGTTGCCAAGTGCGTGTGTGTCGAAGGCTATACTGGGGCGGGTATTTTTAAGCATGCGTATGTGTTGTGGGGGATATTGGTATTTTATGGAGTGTGCAAGAAGGGTGAGCTTCACTTTGCGGCGAGATAACATTGTCAGCCATTTGAGCCGATGGAGCAGTGCTTAAAATGATTGAGAGGAGTGAAGAGGAAGGGGCGGAGGCAAATTCTGGCCGCCTTGCGCTGGATTCGCTCAAGGCGGTCAAGGGCTGTGATCTACAACGGGATGACAGCAATGCATGCATATTCAATTATAGGCATAAAATGTGTTTTGTGAATGAGAGAGAGAGAGTGATTTAGTGTGTAGAGTTGATTTGAGCCTAAAGAGAATATTAAATGATTTTCGGCTTTCTTCAGCACAAAGTCAAGGTGGGCTGTCCATCTTTGGTCATGCTGAAAGACAATGGCGAGGTGGCAATGTTGCAGGACATTTCTGAGATGTGCATTGTTTAGCTCTATGCTTGCGGAGATGGTGAGGGGGGGGGGGGATTTCTGTTGTAGAAGGTGAGGATTACCGTTTTAGCAGTGTTGATTAGAAGATGCCAGCGCTCGAATCATCCAACGGCGGCTGACACACTGCTCTTCAGTTGCAGTTTGCGGTGTGCGGCAGAGCTGCTGGAACAGACGAGGGCTGTGTTGTTGGCAAACTGGCTGCACCTGGTGCTGGCATTTATCGAAAGCGGCAGGCAGCTCGATGGTGTATACCAGAAACAGCAGTGGTCCCAGGACTGACCCCTGAGGCACTCCTGCCGAGATAGGGAGGAAGGCTGATGTAGTGGTCTTAAACTCGCACTCGCTGCCTGCGCCCAATCAAGTACGCCGAGTACCGTTGCAGTGCTGCTTCCTGGACAACATAGTGTTTGAGTTAAGCCATCAGTCCCTGATGCCATACCTAGTGAAAGGCTTTGCTCAGGTCAAAACGGCAAGCTGTGAAGTGCTTTCCCAAGTCACCTTGCATTCTGTATTGCGGCCCAAGTAGCCTTGCCAAATTTATCCAATATAAAAATGAAAACAACATTTTACGAAAAGAATTCGGGTGGACACACCCATTCCCATAGCGCTGCACATCACATCCGAACCAGTTCCGTTATTTTTACAACGTTTCGGCACTTGGCCATCGTCAGGTAATAGCAATGAATACCGTGGAAGCCACACAAGAGCAGTATATACGCAGAGTGTAGCGCCAAAAAAGATGCGAATTATGTCACCTAGTGTGCAGGAGGGGGGGGGGGGAACAGAGAGAGAGAAAAGGCGCAACTAGCACATCACGGAGGAGAAGCAACAGAAGGTAGCGCGCATTGTGCTCTGTGAATGGCGTTACGCAGAGTGTAGCGCCAAAAAATAAAATGATGCGAGTTATGTCACCTCTATACAGAGGGGGAGGGGGGGGAGAGAGAAGGTGCAACTGTGCACATCAGGGAGAAGAAGAGCGCGCCGTTGTGCTCTACGAAGTGAGGGCACATGCCAAATAATTATGGTGTTAATTCTAGCACAGGAGGGGAGCACGGAGCCCCATGTGTCAATGCACTATGAGGTTAAACTTCCATGCCAAACTGTTACCACCAGGGACGCGACGAGGCATCAGGAACAGAATGGATTTGAGTGACCCGCCTCATATTATAATTATTCAGTGATATTGAAGTAGCAGCAGGGGAAGGTGAGAAAAATTCACAACAAATCCCATCCGGTGCTTATGTTCACATGGGGCTTGGCATCACGAATCTCAATCGCCTCGCGCAGTTTGCGACGGGCTCGATCAGGCTCTCTTCCTATCACTTCAACTGCAGAGAATGCACTTTGCCCATAGTTAAGCTTACATCCAGGGTGAGTGGTACGAAAATGTTGGCCCCATGGCTTGTCGAGTTCCTTTCGTCTTGCCTCACCATTGTGTTCTTCCAGGCGAGTTTCCAGAAAGCGGCCAGTCTCACCAACATATTGTTCCGGACATTCTTTGCACTTCAGCTGATATACAACTTTCTTCTGCATACATACATCCTGTCCCCCGGATATACACGAGATACACGGCCCCTTTGGGCGACCTCTCTTTTTCGGTTGTAGCGGATTTGCAGCCTTGACACATAGAGGAGGAACGAGGGCGGAGCGACACAATGTGCGCCTCAGGCTACCAGTGTGCTCATATACGACTCTAACCGGAATTTTATACTTTCTGATTGCTTTATTCACTGCTTGATGTACTTTATCTGACTTATATGGAAGCTTTAGAAATGCGCAGCATGGGTTGGCATGGCGACGACGCTTTGGCCTTATGGAGGCAGTGCGTGCCTCTTCAATGATTCTCTCTGGGTAATTGTTCAATCTTAATTGTTCATGAACCCTCGCTTCACTTTCTGCACGCATTCTGGTATTCGATGAGAGCCTCTGAGCTCTTAGGAATTGTGACGAAGCAACTGCCAATTTGATATGGTGGGGAACTGCCGAAGTATAATCAATGAGTAGACCACTAGCACATGCCTTCTGGTACAGCTTGTATGCCAGCTTGCCTTCCTGGATGATAATTGTGATATCCATATAATTTATGGAGCCACTCACCTCGCTGAGCTCATATGTGAAGTTGATACTTGGGTGTGCAGAGTTGAAATGCTGCACAAACCGCATCAAGCTGTCTCTGCCATGGGTCCATAGTAGCAGGATATCGTCGATGTAGCGTTTTTAGAGGAGCGGTACTAACGGAGAATCCTGCAGAAGCCTGGCCTCAACCGTATGCATAAATAGAATCGCAAATGGGGGTGCAAGATTGTTACCCATTGCAACCCCGTCCACTTGGCGATAGATCTGATGGCCGAATCTGAAATAGTTGTGGCTGAGAATAAACAGCAACAGATTCCGTACCCCGCTCACACTCAGCCCAAACATGTCGATCCGCTGGAAATACTGCTGCAGCATATCCACCACTGCCTGAACGCCCTCCCGAATAGGTATGCTCGGATATAGCCCGACTACATCCATGGACATAACAATGGTGCCATCGGGGGCGTTCAATCCCGGACATGCGTCACAGATTTGGGTTATAGCTTCCGTCGTGTTAGCCAGGTGGGCCGGGACAAATTGAATGAGCTGCTGTAGGATGCGCTCCAATACAATAGATACTCCAGTCGTTGGGCTGTCGCACGCTGCTACCACGGGTCGCAATGGTAAGTTCTGCTTATGGTTCTTTGGAAGACCGTACCACTCGGGGAACTTCGTACTGCTTGGTAGGATTGACTTTAGGAGTTTTGAATCCATGTTCTTGCACTCTGACAGTATTACTTCTCGTGTCTTGGTCTCGTAGGACTCTATGGTCAAATCTACTTTCTCATACATGGTCATGTTCGATAATATGTCTTCTGCTTTCTGCAAATACAGCTCCTGTCTCATAGCAACGAGTTTTTTACTTTTATCCGATGGTTTGATGATGGTTTCTTGGTCTGTGCGAAGTCGCTTCAGCTCCACCCGATCCTCCTGCGTCAGATTGGGCTTGGAGGGTGTGTGTTTGTCATAAGCCCGTAACACCTCGTCGCGGAAGTTGGCCATGTTCCTTTCGTCTTTGTCGTCCATCTGTGGGGGCTGCTTAAAGCCACGCTTCATCAGCTTCCACAATTTCTTGTCCTGTCTGATCTCTGGCGGTGGGCCCTCCTCTTTGAGGTCCACACCCTGAGGCTGGGGCTGTTGCCACCGGAGGGTGAACGCCATCCTCTCTACCGATGTCTCAACATCTGTTCGTTCTTGCTTGGTGAGCCTCCCCGTCGACGGGACAAAGCTAGGTCCATGTTCCAGCAGACGCGTTGTCTGGTCGGACACACAGTCGTCCACCACCAACGCCCGCTCATGGACTGGCTCAGCATTGGCCGTATGCCCACTGGGTGACGCAATACCAACGGCGGCAACAGGAGTTGGGCCGCGGGGTGAGCTGTTGGTTCCCGCCACACATTGATCCGCCTCTCGAAGTCCAGAAATCTTCCGATTTAGTCTGGCGTTGGAACTTATTCGTTCTTCGGTAACCACTGCACGTTGAAGAGAATGCTCGCTCTTCTTCTCCGTGATGTGCACAGTTGCACCTTCTCTCTCCCCCCCCCCCCCCCCTCTGTATAGAGGTGACATAACTCGCATCATTTTATTTTTTGGCGCTACACTCTGCGTAACGCCATTCACAGAGCACAATGCGCGCTACCTTCTGTTGCTTCTCCTCCGTGATGTGCTAGTTGCGCCTTTTCTCTCTCTCTCTCTGTCCCCCCCCCCCCCTTCTGCACACTAGGTGACATAATTCGCATATTTTTTGGCGCTACACTCTGCGTATATACTGCTCTTGTGTGGCTTCCACGGTATTCATTGCTATTACCTGACGATGGCCAAGTGCCGAAACGTTGTAAAAATAACGGAACTGGTTCGGATGTGATGTGCAGCGCTATGGGAATGGGTGTGTCCACCCGAATTCTTTTCACAGATGAAGCTGCAGGAAGCCTCAGCCCTTCTTCAAACATTTTACGAGTTATGACTAATGGTTTACCAAAGTAACCAGATACTATAGAGTCAGATAGAGATAATAAGACGATCAACTCCTAAAATTATGTTCATCCCTGCACCAACAAGTACAATTGACACACCTTACAAGTCATCACAATATATACGGTGGAATTTACGTCTTGTGGAACTACTTGTTGTAGTGCCCAACTTGTGCATCATTCCAGCATCGACCATTTCCATGTTTAATATCTGGTTTCATTGCCGGACCATTAGTCGTAACTCGTAACATTTTGTCCTTCCTTCTATCCAAGTTCCTTATAGTTTAAAATATTCACTTTGCTTGTCTATTTATCAGAAATGCTCAGCTCGAACACAGCCAGACTGGTGGCACTCACGCACAGACGGAAGAAGGAACTTGCAGCACCTCAAGACAGGCCGGTATTTTTGACATCGCCGGAGCGAGTGAGTTAAGAGTTGTTCTATTCATTTTACCTTGGCGTGGTTCCTCATAAGTTTACGGAAAGAGGCGGAAGTTGGTAAGAATATAGGTGTGTCCAGGTACCAAACAGATACTGGTAATATAGAGCACCCATGATCAGATTTTCTGGGTTTGTCCAAGGGACGATGGCACGAGTGGAAGCCAGCATAGGTCAAGTTTTCACGCAAAGTTCTAGATGTCAGGATGTGTTGGAAAAGAAAGGATGTTCTTAATGAAGTCATTTGGACGGTGTCACAAGGCAATAGCTAGTCCATGGCGGGACGCAGGCTTGGACGTGATCTACTCGTGCGATAACAAACTGGTTGGCTTGAGACGAGTACAATCAGGAGTCTTCTCAGTGGGTAAATTGTCGTGAGGCATTTTATACGAAATATTATCAGTCTATCCCGACGAGAGAGCTCTTCCGCTGCTCTCACCCTCCCCCCCCCCCCCACACACACAGAGCAACTGTTCCTCAAGTGGTAAGGGAAAAGAGTTCTGGAAGAAGCACTTGCGAGAAAGACAACATGAATGTTTGAAAAGCATATAACAGTCCGTACTTGGCATTACGTGCGTGCAGCGGAGAACACGGAAGCAAACCGCATGCACACACCAACGACAAAAGGGGATTGGAATATGTAGAGGTCGTAGAAGTCAAAACAGAAACCAGGAGAACTCAGCACCATTTGCATTATTTCTTCTGAAAACGGGAATTTGAAAAATTTGTACACCCTTCAACACCCAAGGCCCTCAGCCTCTGTTGTGAGAATGAACTTGAGTCAATCACCCGAAAAACATCCTAGGTTGTATTTCTTGGACATCCTCAACCCTAGCAAATCCTATTTGTGTCGTATATCAATTGATTGGCTTCTTACAGATTGAGAGGCTGACAACAGAGCTGAAGAAAACCACATTAGAGCAGCAGCCTGTAGCAGAAAAGGAACAGATCAGCCCGGTAGAGAAGCCCATCAGCTCGGTAGAGATGCCCATCAGCCCCAGAAAGATACACAGGCCCCCAACACAGATACCCTGGAGCACTAGCCTAACACCAGACAAACATTCCGAGGTGGGTACTTGTTTTATCTCTCTCATGTACATTCAATCTACAGGTCCAAGTAAACCCGCATGTTTTTGGCTTTCCATGTATATATTATCTACTCGATCTCCGGACAGAATTGTTTCGTCATTTGTGGTCTCGTCAGCACAGTGCAGAGAAAACGAGGCCCAGCATAATAGCAATGAAGAATTAATTCGCTAAGTCCAGACTTACACAAGGCCCAAACGTAGCTGACCATAGTGCTCCAACTGACCAGTGAGTGAACTGGGCGTAGTGCAGATTTCCAGCTCTGAAAATATTTTGTGGCGCCATAGCGTTGGATATATGCCCTCTACAGTGGTCAGTTGGAGCTTATTCTACTTTGCTCACAGAGGGCTTTCTATTATGCCCAAGATCGTGTAAGTTAGACAACTAAAACTAAAGTTATTCCCGAAATAAAGTACGAAGTATTGCTTATTCTTTGATGTAAATATATGGGAAGACTCTAAAGGGTGAAGAGTCAATGTCTGTTATGCCCAAACATAGCCGATCATGGCCGAATTTCCGACTCCACTGGAAGTGGGCTGCTTCTTTAACCTGGACCGAGTACTTCATTCTCCCACTATTTACGTTTTGATCCAGATATTCTCTGTTCCTGTTATTTTTGGCAAGGTCAAAAATTCAAATGAAATACACATCAAAACAAGGTACAGTACGAGGGGCCACTGCTTCTCGCAACAATACCACACAGCCAAGCCAACATTATCCACACTCTGACACAAGTGACTTTGTAATTTTTAGCCATGTAACAGTTGGCTGTCGACTTTCTGAGTCCCTCAAATGAATCCAAAAAAATCAGCCTATCCAATGGGAATATGCTAGTTTTCTTCAAAACTTGCCAGATTATGCTAGCACGATACTAGTTTGCAGAAAGTGCTAAAAATGCTGGGTATAATGCTAGTATTATCCGCTGGGGCCTACTGGCAACACCCAAGGCTCCCAGGCCGTTGGGTGCGTGTGTGAAGAATATAATTGATGCAGACATGGCCAGACAACAGCGAGTTTAAGGAATTTTAAAAGAATTTTATTATCCAAAATCGAATTTGGATAATGAAATCGCTGGCTACATGCGAGGGGCCCTGGGTCGAGTCCTGGTGGTGACAGTCAATTAAATATTATTGTTTCTTCCGATTTTTCCCATTTCCGCCTTTCCCTCATACTAGTAAATATTCGATGACTTGGGGCTTCCCGCGTGCAAGTTTTGTACGTGAAGTGTGTGGGTTACAGTGAGGGCAGCGTCACACCCACCTGTGTGGATTCACAGGAAGTGTGAGTTACGAAGTCTGAAGAGGATGTTGAATGGTCTCTGCTGGGATGAGAACTGCACCATACCTCAGTGGTTAGAGCATCCCTGGCTACAAGCTATGGTCCTTGATCCGAGTCCTGGTGGTGATAGTCAATTTTTTCTTCAGATTTTTCCCCGTTTTCGTCTTTCCCTCAAAACCAGTGGATAATAATTATAGGTTAGTGCATGGTAGGGAGGGCCTTATGGCTTGTTAGTGCATGGTAGGGAGGGCCTTATGTCTTGTTAGTGCATGGTAGGGAGGGCCTTATGGCTTGTTAGTGCATGGTAGGGAGGGCCTTATGGCTTGTTAGTGCATGGTAGGGAGGGCCTTATGTCTTGTTAGTGCATGGTAGGGAGGGCCTTATGGCTTGTTAGTGCATGGTAGGGAGGGCCTTATGGCTTGTTAGTGCATGGTAGGGAGGGCCTTATGGCTTGTTAGTGCCCGAGAGGTTAGCTGGTGCCTCGTAGCACTATCCTGTGGAGCCGCACGCGACCGGCTTGTATCCTCCAGCTTATCAATAATCGGTAAGGATGTACGTGTTACTGTGGGCGGCAGTGAAGTAATCACAGTATCGGTATTTGGATGCCCATTGCATTTGCACGATGGAGCAGTTGCAAGTTTTTGGGGCGTTTGGAGATATTTGTGGCCGAATAACAAGAAAAATCGCGGAGCATGGTGATTTTTCAATCGAAACGGGAACCCACCATGCAAGAATGAGCCTGAAGAAGAGCATCCATTCTGCTGTGCGTATAGGCTCCGGTATGACCACGGTAGGGGGTTCGTACCAAGGTCAAACACAAAGATGTTATGTTTTCGATGTCAGAAAAGCGGACATGAGGCAAAGGCCTGTCCAAATCGCCTGACCTACACACGGAGTACAAACAAATCCCGGATGATGGTGTCGGGGTCCAACAGCCAACCGCCAACTGGCCAGTGGTGTGGTGTCAGACAAACATGACTCATCTGCTGTAAGAGGGTCGGATGCGGAAAGAGTAGCAGGACAAAAGGCAAAGTATAAGCTCATTGGACCAACATTCTCCCTCTGGTACGACAACCAACCGCCAGCTTGCCAGTGCTAGTGGTGTGGGGCTAGACAAACCGTTTTCGTATTCAGCTGCTGTAGGAGGATCGGATGCGGAAAGGGATGCTTCCGGGGAACCGGAACCTGCCTCGGCGGTAGGCAATGAAGGTGAGCCCGATTGCACTCTAGCTCTGTCCTCCGACAGCAGCTCGGCTGAGGGGTCAGAGAGAGAGAAGCCACCACCCCCTCCCACAGCAGCCTAACCCCACCACGTCTCTGGCCCACTCTGATCCTACTAGTGAAGAAGACAGAGCAATGGCCTTACTGGCTGAGTGCGGTAAGAGCAACAGCAACTCGCTTATCCATCATCTCGACGAAATCCTTCCTTTGGCCCGTCAACACGGCTCTAGTCTCATTCTTGCTGGGGACTTTAACGTTCACAACCGTGCCTGGCTCAACATCTCTAATACCACACTGGCAGGAAAAGCCCTCGAGGACACTTGTGCTGTGCACCTTCTTATGCAGCATGCTCGGACTCCTACTCTTGGCGACAACACCCTTGATTTCGTGATGTCTACCTTCAACTCTCCAGTATGGACAACCACCACACACCCTGTTGGGCGTTCTGACCACGTTATGGTGCTATCCGACTTTGTATGCATATTACCTTGCCACGGACCTGCAGCAACGTGAACTGTCTGGCGCTACAAGAGCGCGGACTGGCATCGCCTCCAAGATTTCCTTCACAATTCTCCATGGCACGACATCATAACTGATGAATGATGACCCAGACACCTCCTATGAGCGGGTAACCACCACCATCAGAGGTGCAATAGCCAAGTTTGTCCCATCTAAGGAACATACCACGAGGCCGAGTGATCCAAAATGGTGGACCCCGGAATGTACAGCTGCTACGAGGGAAATTACAGCCGTTGGCGTTCCTAGAGAAAATACCCGAACGATCTTCTACTCAAACAAGCTTTCCACCGCTTCGTTACCACAGCCGTCAATATCCTAAGATGACCCTAGCACCTAAAGAGGCCAGTAGCCGTCATAGCGTCACTCAAGGACAAAGAATGGTGGACAAAGTATGCAAGTGGAGACAGACGCAACAAGGACATTCCTCTCATTGTTGATGCGGACGGACCGGAGTGGACCAGTTCCGATCACATCACTGCACTTGCATATGTTTACATCAAGCCACATTCATACCGCATCATGGGGGTTGATCCAATTTGTACAACGACCCAGTGATCCGACAATATGAAATAAACTCATAACTTGTTTACCCGGGCACTGCCCGTAACTTCGAAATGTCCGTTACCCCGAATCACATGCATTTTGACGGGGAATGGCCATTAATATGGCATATGTCGCCACTATTTCCACAAAAATTGCCAAAAGAGTAGTAACATTTCCACTGAAACTCTCCCAAAGTTTGCCCAGTAGCCTGAAATGCCCGTAACTTTGGGGTCTGGATAACCGAGGTATAAGTGTACATGTATGTCTGTACGGTGCCGCCAATGGTGGTAACCTGGATGTGTGTCAAGCGCTGATTGCTGGAGGCGCCGAGTGTAACATCAAGAATGAGGTAAAGCACAGTAACATTGAGTGTTATGCACCAGGATAATCCTGTTCAGTGTTTAACCGGAAATGTTCATTTACGGCCTCCTCACGACTATAATGCGTGCAGGTCTTTGCCCCAGGGTGTTGTGTCTATTGTTCTCAAAATCGGCCACGCTCCCATTGCTTGGTATATCCTTGAGAGACGCCATCATACCAGAATCTTTCACCTGAGCGGGTCCAGACAGAACAATGATTACTATGTTCCATCCATTACACGTATGAAGGGTTAGTATGTGGAAGTACTAAAACTCGGAACGACTTCGGGAGGAGTCTACAGGTGGAATTCAGGGGCATGAGCTGAAAACAGAAAAGTATTTCGAGCTACATGTATATTGTATCTTACATTGCTGCAGGCTAGGGCAGCACAGGCTCCATCCTCGTGAATAGTAGGCTGTGCATACAGAACATCGAGCATTCCAGATGTGAATGCAGGATTTCCATACAAGAACCCTCGCGTAGGGTTTTGGTGCACTAGCTGCACAAACTGGTTTCGCGAGCAAAGAACAGAAGCACGGAAGCTAAGACTTCTGCATGCCTTCCTCCTCCTTTTATTTCTTGCGCCACTTTATATCAACATGTCGGAGACGACGTAAGTGACCTTCAATTCGGCTCCACCGACCAAAGGTCTCGGGTTCAATGCCACAAGCACGCACCTGGAAAAACAAACAGAAATGTAAAGCGCAGCTAGATCTAGCTATGGGGAAGTAGAATGGGTAAAAGTACCGGTAGGTGTTTAGAAAAATAAAAACAAGATACACACTTTCACATGCATGTCCATTGTCACACTGCACTTACTGAATTTCCTATCATTTCTCACCTCACCTATAGTTTATTACCTGTGCAAATTGTTCCTAGGTTTGTGCTATTTTTCTTACTATGCTTGTATTCTCGCTGTTTCACTCCAAGTGTATAAATTCTATTGTAGTTTCATCATTCTCTTTAGTCACGAATTCCATTGATAATTGTGACAAGAAAACGTTCTGGAATACATGATTCGTCCCCATGGTTGTGATATGAGTGCGCATTTAGTTATTCATTGCATTATTAAGATTATTGTCTCCACGTCGCCTTTTTAAGATAAAAAAAATTATCGGTGTTAGGACTGATGTACCATGTACATGTACACGTATGCAAAACACAGCTGAGCACTCTGAGCAAGGCCAGGTACGCAGATTAGCGGGTCGGGCAAGCGACGAGCTCGAAAAATTACAGGGAGTATGTTGCCCAGAACCATTTGCTGTCTCTCAGGTGTAGGTAGACCTTTGTCTTTAATGACTGAAAACGTGTTATGTGCGGGCGCTGCGACAGCAGCCTGTCAGGAAGAGAGTTCAGTGCGCCTATACAGCAGTACGGGAACGACCGCTTCACGACGGATGGAGCTGAGACAGGGAGCGTGTCTGACAGTTGATGGGCATGGCTAGTGGCATTATTGTGCTCGTTCCTGGTTCTGGAGTTGGCTGGAGAAACGTGATGCGGTGGCAATACATCAAGTAGCTGAGGAGGACCAGTGATGAAATGCAATTTGTACATGCACGAGAGAGCAGCAGCAGTCCGGCGGACAGCCAGACTGAGGAGAATTGCCCCAGGGCCAATGATGCGCAGTGCGCGGCGTTGAACATTATCCAGACGTTGGATGTGGCTGGCTGGTGCGCCCATCCACACAAGCGGGGCATACTCCATCAGGGCCTCACGAATGCCTTGTAGACAGTCGTTCGGCCAGCTGGCGTTAGAATGTGGGCCGCTCGTCGGAGAAAGCCGAGGCGCTGCTGGGCGCGGATGGTCACGGTCCTGAGGTGACTAGCGAAGGACAGTTTGGAGTCAAATCGAACACCAAGCAGGGATATGCTGGTTTCCTCCGGTACAGAGGTACCACCAAACTGGATTTGGGGTAGGTCTAGGTCAGTGCGTCGGAGGGTAGCAGTCAGTCATAGCCTGTGACTTGGTGGGCTCGAAAGACACTTTCCACCGGCAACCCCACTTATGCAGGCGGTTTGTAGATACCTGCAAGGTGTATGCAGCGTCCCGAGGGCACTGAGCTGAGGATACTAGACTGTATAGTGTGGTATCGACCGCGTAGGCCTCAAGCTTAGCATTGCCATCAAGAACATCGGCAGATTCATTCACGTGTATTAACCCTTTGAGGACGAAGGACGAATATATCCCTTTTTTAAGGTATAGCTGGATTCCTAAAGACGAGTATATCCGTTTTTGAGAAAATTGCGATATCGATATATTTTTAGGTGCTGGTAGTCGCTCATATGTTGCTCAGACGAGTACGATCTGATTCTTCGTCAAGGTGAGACATGTCGCAGTCGATCCGCGTCAGTCCCGTGGAGAACCGGCCACATTTGAGTATACTCAGAGAATGCGCCGATCGAGAAATTATTTGGAATTTGAAACTAGCTTGTTACTTTGTTGAGAGTGCCGATGGCACGTAACCTGTCAAGTGTCTCCTTGTCTGAGGCCCTCAGCATTATCTTTATGAGCAGCGATAGTGAGGATGAACAGTGTGATCCTTTTACTTTTCTGAGGATGTCACTGATATCAATGTCTCTTTAGAATCAAACTTTAGGACACCATATCCATAGCAGACTCAGCGGAGGACGTTCAGGTTGGTTGTAACTCTGAGTTTCATGCCGCTAGGCAATCATCAGACAACTGATGATTGCCTAGCGGCATGAAACTCAGAGTTACAACCAACCTGAACGTCCTCCACTGAGTCTGGTATGTACTAAGCTCTGTCTCTGACATTGAGCACTCTCTGCAGCTCGGGGATCAACGGATTCGGACACCATATCCAATATTTTTTAAACTCGATTTTTGAGAAAATCGCAACATACACCTATTTTGAATTGACCATTCTGACCTCTATAATGAATATATGATGTAGAAACTTAGGTTTTTGTTGCCTACTGATGTCTATGTCTCTTTAGAACCAAATTTTATGACACTAGATCAATTTTTGAAAATATCGCTTTTTCGCCTGAAAATGGTAGGAATCCAGGTGGTTTTGGGTAGTCCTCAAAGGGTTAAAAACAGCGTAGGGCCCAAGATACTGCCCTGGGGCACCCCTGCAGAGATTGGGTAGAGAGAAGAAATCTGCCCACCAACTAAGCACTGGAGTGAACTGGCGTCAAGATAAGACGATAGCCAGCTATGGAGTTTTTTCTTGCCTGTGCTTCCAGCTTGGCGACACTCCGTTGCACGATGCCGCCAGGTTATGTAGAATCGAGATGTGTAAAGCGCTGCTCGCTGCAGGGGCCGACTGTGAAATGAAGAATGAGGTATAGCACAGTGACATCGAGTGTCCTGAACCAGGATGATCCTGTTCTGTGTTTGCACTGCACAAATAACGTACAAACAATCATGTGTTCCCTGACCTTTACCCGAATGGAATCCTGTCATAACCGGAAAATTCTCATCTACTGCCTCCTCACCCCATCAATGTGTGCAGGTCTTTGGCCCAGGGTGTTGTGTCTGTTGTTCTCAAAATCGGTCACGCTCCCATTGCTGGGTATATTTTTGAGAGACGCCATCATGCCAGAATCTTTCACTTGAGCAAGGTCCATGCGGGACAATATTCTGTTCCATCTATTACACGTATGAGGGGCTAGTATCTCGAGGGAGAAAAGCTCGGAACGATTTCGGGAGGAATATACAGGTGAACTTCAGGAGCATGAGCTGGAAACAGAAAAGTATTTCGAGCTGAATGTATATTGTATCTTACATTGCTGGAGGCTAGGGCAGCGCAGGCTCCATCCTCGTGGATAGTAGGCTGTGCATACAGGACCTCGATCATTCCAGATGTGAATACAGGATTTCCTGAACCCTCACGTCGGGTTTAGGTGCACTAGCTACACAAACTGGTTTCGCGATCAGAGAACAGAAGCACGGAAGCTAAGACTTCTGCATGCCTTCCTCCGTTTTTGTTTCTTGCATCACTCTACATCGACATGTCGGAGACGCCGTAAGTGCCCTTCAGTTTGCAGAGTGCATGCTAAACTCCGCTTGGTTTGGCCCTCGGCGGATTCAGTTGATGGCACCTTTCTCCAGATCATTAGACAGTAACACCGTATGAGGTATGTACTGTGGCCATAGAGGAAGTGGAGGAGCTGAAGTTGCTCGGAGTGCTCTTTGATCGGAGCCTCTCCTTTCGCTCCCACATTCGACAGGTTGCAGTCCATGGTCACCAACGTCTTGGCTTCATGAGGAAGGCCCTGCCCATTCTCGACAGCAAGGCCAAGTATGCAGTGTATCGCGGCTTCGTCCGCCCAGTACTTGAGTACTGCCCGCTTTCATGGTTGGGTGCGTCCCAGTCTACCCTGAACCAGCTGGACCGGGTACAGCACCGAGCCCTAAAGCTCATCAGCCCAGGGTCATACCTCCCAAGCCTTACTGTTCGGCGTCAAGTCGCAGCACTCACATCCCTGTACAAGCTGCATTGGATCGACGGTCCCCCAATCCTGACCACCATGACACCACCGAGGGCAGTTGCAAACCAGCACCGGCGCTCCACTCACCACCAGCAAAAGAACCAGCACCAGCACCAACTAGCACCGACACTGCCCGCCGGAGCCCGTAATAGTGCTCTCCGATCATTCCCCCATGCCACGATCCAAGACTGGAATCGTCTCCCATCTGCCCTGCTACGCAACCTTCCCACGCAGAAGGGAATGCACGCATTCAAGGAAGGCGCCTACAAGTCGCTCCGCAGCCGAGACTGGCGTTCAGCCACAGATGCCCTCTGAACACTCCCTGAACACCCTTTCTGCTTGCACCCTGGCTCCCCCCTTTTTTATTTTTTTTTATTTTTTATTATTTTATTTATTTTTTATTTTTATTTTTTATTTTTTATTTTCTTCCTCTATCACATGTATCATCTTTTCGTTTTTCCTTCCTCTATATAAATGTACCCCCCCCCCCCTCCCCTCCCCCTGTGCCTACTCCTCCCCAGTTTTTGGTGCTCTGAAGTGTCGCTGAAGCCGAGACCTCAGGTCGGCGGAGATGCTCCAGTTTTCACCACCACAGTTGCGTCTGCAACCACCTCTACCATGCAGTATTCTGTTCTCGAGGTTCGTGGTTTCTCGTAAAAAAAAAAAAAACTACGAATATGCAGCTGCGTCAATAGGCTGGGTTTCACTGAACCTGCATTACGAGTACGATATTAAATTACACATGGAGGATAAAAGGCAAAAACATCCATTTTGAAAATGGCAAAAGCACAAACTCCAAAATTGCCGCTGAATCACCCGGGAGGGATCTTAAGGCAGCGACGTACAATTCTCTTTACCGAAATGCGACTTAAAGCGCAAAACTGGTACCATGGATCAGTTCCGATCACATCACTGCACTTGCATATGTGTACGTCTAGCCGCATTCATACCGCATCATGGGCGTTGATCCAATTTGTACAATGACACAATGATCCGACAATATTAAATACACTCATAACTTATTTATTCGGCCACTGCCTGTAACTTTGAAATGTCCGTATCCCCGAATCACATACATTTTGACAGGAAATGGCCATAACTATGGCATATGTGGCCACTATTTCCAGAAAAATAGCCAAAAGAGTAGTAACATTTCCACTGAAACTCGCCCAAAGTTTGCCCGGTAGCCTGAAATGCCCGTAACTTCGGGGTCTGGATAACCGAGGTATAAGTGTACATGTATGTCTGTACACTGATGGCAATCATGCAATGTAAATACCAGACAAGTAGTACCATATCCACCAACTGTTGAATTCCACTCTGAATTGTTTTGCTTTGATCTACAGTTGTGACTGTGTTCTACAATCAAACCCATTGAGAACTTTTCCCTGCACTCTTGTTTCTTGCGTGTGCATCCAGCGTGGCGACACTCCGTTGCACGATGCCGCCTGGAGAGGTAACCTCGAGGTGTGTCAAGCGCTGATCGCTGGAGGGGCCGACTGTAAAATCAAGAATGAGGTAAAGCACAGTAACATTGAGTGTTATCAACCAGGATAATCCTGTTCTGTGTTTGCACTGTACAATTAACGTACGATAAATCATGTGTTCCCTGACCTTCACCCGATCGAGTGGAATCCTGTCTTAACCGGAAATGTTCATATACGGCCTCCTCACGACTATAATGTGTGCAGGTCTTTTCCCCAGGGTGTTGTGTCTATTGTTCTCAAAATCGGTCAAGCTACCAAGGCTTGGTTTATTCTTGAGAGACGTCATCATACCAGAATCTTTCACCTGAGCGGGTCCAGACGGAACAATGATTTCTATGTTCCATCCATTACACGTATGAAGGGTTAGTATGTCGAAGTATTAAAACTCGGAACGACTTCGGGAGGAGTCTACAGGTGGACTTCAGGCGCATGAGCTGAAAACAGAAAAGTATTTCGAGCTACATGTATATTGTATCTTACATTGCTGCAGGCTAGTGCAGCGCAGGCTCCATCCTCGTGAATAGTAGGCTGTGCATACAGAACATCGAGCATTCCAGATGTGAATACAGGATTTCCATACAAGAACCCTCACGTAGGGTTTAGGTGCACTATCAAATTATACATGGATGATAAAAGGCAAAAAAATCCATTTTGAAAGTGTCAGAAGCACAAACTCCAAAATTGCCGCTGAATCACCCGGGTGGTATCAGATAAAGGCAGCGACGTACAATTCTCTTCACCCAAATGCGACTTAACCCTTTGCCGGCAAGTGCATTTTGTATATGAAATCCATAACATTGAGAAGGATGCCAATAACTCACAACGAGGGCACATTTTGTATGTGCAAGTTATGTTTTCTTGGAAGTCTGGTACTACTTCTTGACGATGTAAAAAATTATTTTCACATACCACACACATACGCTACTAAATTGGCACCTATACGTCTAAACACGGAAATTGTACACAATGCAAATCGTCAGATTCCGACATTGACATGAAACTGCCAAAACAAGTCGACTTCAGAGCGGAAATGAACGCCATAGCCATCACAGACTTCAGTGGCCGTGCCTCGCTCGCAATTGAGAGCAGCATCGCCCCAAAATCGCTGTCCGATGGCTCCGTAAGGTCGTGCGCAAGTCGCGCTGCGCTGCCGTCACTCAGGTACGTAGAAAGTCGATGGCCTAAAATTGCGTCTCTGGAAGACTGTCGACACTCTCCATGGCTTCCACACACCATAAGCACCATCAGATTCTTCCAGTTACATCACGACGACATCGTCTTCAGCGGCTGGAGCTCCCGATATTTGCGTGAGAATTTACTCCGCTCCGCAATTTGAAATTCGCTTGCATCGGCGGCTGGAACGAAGTATTTATCTAACTGTCGTGGGTCCCAGAGCAAAGGTCTGCTAGGTCCTCGTCGGAGAAGTCATCTGAGGAACTCACTGCGCAATAGGAAATGCACGTGACGACGTTTTGACGGAGGCAGATGGCATTGTTGGCGCGCGTGTATTTCCGTAAATTTTCGATCGCGCAGTTCTCAATGAAATCAAATGGGACACGCGTAGATCTCTTCAGCTACGGATAGGATCATACGTAGGCTGTGTGAGGGCCACGGGAAATCCCCGTGGGCTGATACTTCCTGTCATACCAGGCATGGTTTTAGTATTGTTAGGTACCTCCTCCCGTACCTTTTCTAGCTGGCCTGCATGCATTTGCGTACTCACCTTTTGTCTCCTTTTTTCCGTTGGCCTGGGTAGCTACTTGTGCGCCCATAATTGCCATAGCTAACCAGGCCCTTTATCTTGCCTAATTCATATTCAACATTGGCGCCCGATTATTGAGCGACCCACGACCCTGAGATTATCCTATGCCCAGCCGTCCTCAACCGCCATTCGTTTCGTCTATGTCAACCTCGTCTCGTCCATGTCAGTCTCGTCTCTCCTACGCCAACCTCGTCTCGTCTCTATCATCCTCGTCTCTCCTACGCCAACCTCGTCTCGTCTATGTCAACCTCGTGTTGTTCAAGCCATGCAGGTCAGCTACCTTTCTCTCTTTCTCTTTTTTGTATGCGTTCCTTCTTCGTCAAATTTATTTTCGTGAATTTTTTTTAGTGTGTGTGCGCGCGGGTGTCCTTCATTAACATTAGGGGTCCGATCATGGTGAGCCACGCTCTCTTATTTATGTCGTATATTAAAGTGTAACTAGGCTCTATTAACCGTGCAAAATACTAGTCATCAGAATACAATTCAAGTCCCTCGTCGAACTCCAATAGTTATTTTTTGTGCCATGTTTTGAAGCGGCGTTTGGGCCCGTTGTTATTGGCAATGTACACACTATAGTATGAGTAGTACAGGAACGTTGACGGTTGTAATGATCTGTAGTGCATTTTTTAGTACACACTTTTGTGAGGCCCGTGCGTTGTGTGTGCGTGTGTGTGTTTTTTCTCGTACAGTCATATTTTTTAAATCTTTTTCTCTCTCTTTTTTTTCTCTCCGCGAAGACGCGGGATTTTTTTTCATGGAGGGGGGGGGTATGTTAGGTACCTCCTCCCGTACCTTTTCTAGCTGGCCTGCATGCACTTGCATACTCACCTTTTGTCTCCTTTTGTTCCGTTGGCCTGGGTAGCTACTTGCGCGCCCATATTTGCCATAGCTACCCAGGCCCTTTATCTTGCCGTTCAGACTTGATCTCTTCCTCACTTGTCAATAATCACCATGTAGTCGTTTCGTTCGTCTTGGTCTCTTGTCTCGTCATCTCTAATAAATGTCGTTCCCACTAACTTGTTCCCGTTGTCCGTTGTCCTAATTCGTATTCAGCAGTATGCATGTCGAATGCGTCGTTTACGACGCATTCAAGTATGGGGCTGCCGGTAAAGGGTTAAAGCGCAAAACTGGTACCAGGGACCAGTTCCGATCACATCACTGCACTTGCATATGTGTACGTCTAGCCGCATTCGTGCCGCATCATGGGCGTTGATCCAATTTGTACAACGACACAATGATCCGACAATATGAAATACACTCATAACTTGTTTATCCGGACACTGCCCGTTACTTCGAAATGTCCATAACTCCTAATCACATACTTTTTGACGGGGAATGGCCATAGATAATATAGCATATGTCGTCACTATTTCCAGAAAAATTGCCAAAAGAGTAGTAACATTTCCACTTAAACTCAACCAAAGGGTGTCCGGTAGCCTGAAATTCCCGTAACTTTGGGGTCTGGATAACCGATGTATAAGTGTACATGTATGTCTGTACACTAATGGCAATCATGCAATGTAAATACCAGACAAGTAGTACCATATCAACCAACTGTTGAATTCCACTCTGAATTGTTTTGCTTTGATTTACAACTGTGACTATGATCCACAATCTAACTCATTGAGAACTTTTTCCTGTACTGTTGCTTGTTGCGTGTGCATCTAGCGTGGCGACACTCCGTTGCACGATGCCATCAGGAGAGATAACCTCGAGGTGTGTCAAGCGCTGATCGCTGGAGGGGCCGACTGTAACATCAAGAATGAGGTAAAGCGCAGTTACATTGATTGTTATGAACCAGGATAATCCTGTTCTGTGTTTAACCGGATATGTCCATTTACGGCCTCCTCATGACTATAATGTATGCAGGTCTTTGCCCCAGGGTATTGTGTCTTTTGTTCTCAAAATCGGTCAAGCTCCCATTGCTTGGTATATTCTTGAGAGACGCCATCATACCAGAATCATTCACCTGACGTGAGTGCCCTTAAATTTGCAGAGTGCATGCTAATCCGCTTGGTTTGGCCCTCGGCGGATTCAGTTGACGGCAGCTTTTTTCCCGATCATAAGACAGTAACATCGTATGAGGTATGTACTACAAATGTGCAGCCGCGTCAATAGGCTGGGTTTCACTGGACCTGCATTACGAGTACGATATCAAATTATACATGGAGGATAAAAGGCAAAAAAATCCATTTTGAAAGTGTCAGAAGCACAAACTCCAAAATTGCCGCTGAATCACCCGGGAGGGATCAGATTAAGGCAGCGATACAATTCTCTTCACTGAAATGCGACTTAAAGCGCAAAAGTGGTAGAGGGGACGGCTCGATACCGGGACGCTTTGACAGCCAAATTTGTATAGACCCAAACCGATCATCAGCGTTGATTTTTCACTCGAAATATGTTTGTGGAAGGAAACTGGCATGTTGAAGTTTGCTTTGGGGCCAGAGTCAATCCGACTGAGCCACTCCTTTGTGTTGACCCATTGCCTCCAAGTTGCCCAATTTCTCGCTTCAAAAAAAGTTCAAATCAGAGGTGGCTCCAAACCGGACACGTTTTAGAGTGCACGTCAAATTCACTCTGGGTCTGAAATTAAGTAATTGCTATTGCTCCACGACGGCCAGTACAGAGTAACAATAAGCCTTGTGTGTGCTTCCATTAGTTTTGATTGGTATGCGGTGCTTTATTGGCGAGAGGCGAGCCGCTGTTTACCTGCGACAAGAAGTTGATTTTTCGAAAGTCGTAAAACTCAAGTCGCAGTGCGAAGCAACACGTCAAAAACTCACCTGCTTGATATGGCGCTTCTGGTCATCGCAGAGCCATGAAATTTTGGCTCGGAGTATAACACATCGTAGTCTCACGGTGACATATGTTTTCTAATCAAAATACCAAGAGAGAAAGTGAATATTGAGTCTGTTCCGGTTTGCAACCTGTGTCCTATTTGAAACCGTCCCCTCTACCAGGGACCAGTTCCGATCACATCACTGCACTTGCATATGTGTACGTCCAGCCGCATTCGTACCGCATCATGGGCGTTGATCCAATTTGTACAACGACACAATGATCCGACAATATGAAATACACTCATAACTTGTTTATCCGGGCACTTCCCGTAACTTCGAAATGTCCATAACTCCTAATCACATACATTTTGACGGGGAATGGCCATAGATAATATGGCTTATGTCGTCACTATTTCCAGAAAAATTGCCAAAAGAGTAGTAACATTTCCACTGAAACTCAACCAAAGTGTGTCCGGTAGCCTGAAATGCCCGTAACTTTGGGGTCTGGATAACCGAGGTATAAGTGTACATGTATGTCTGTACACTAATGGCAATCATGCAATGTAAATACCAGACAAGTAGTACCATATCAACCAACTGTTGAATTCCACTCTGAATTGTTTTGCTTTTCTCTACATTTGTGACTGTGTTCTACAATCAAACTCATTGAGAACTTTTTCCTACTGTTGCTTGTTGCGTGTGCATCTAGCGTGGCGACACTCCGTTGCACGATGCCGTCAGGAGAGATAACCTCGAGGTGTGTCAAGCGCTGATCGCTGGAGGGGCTGACTGTAACATCAAGAATGAGGTAAAGCGCAGTTACATTGATTGTTATGAACCAGGATAATCCTGTTCTGTGTTTAACAGGATATGTTCATTTACGGCCTCCTCATGACTATAATGTATGCAGGTCTTTGCCCCAGGGTGTTGTGTCTTTTGTTCTCAAAATCGGTCAAGCTCCCATTGCTTGGTATATTCTTGAGAGACGCCATCATACCAGAATCTTTCACCTGACGTGAGTGCCCTTAAATTTGCAGAGTGCATGCTAATCCGCTTGGTTTGGCCCTCGGCGGATTCAGTTGACGGCAGCTTTTTTCCCGATCATAAGACAGTAACATCGTATGAGGTATGTACTACGAATGTGCAGCCACGTCAATAGGCTGGGTTTCACTGAACCTGCATTAGGAGTACGATATCAAATTATACATGGAGGATAAAAGGCAAAAAATCCTTTTTGAAAGTGTCAGAAGCACAAATTCCAAAATTGCCGCTGAATCACCTGGGAGGGATCAGATTAAGCGATACAATTCTCTTCACTGAAATGCGACTTAAAGGGGAAGTTAAGGCAAAAATTAAAATTTCACCAGTTGTAGTCTACGGGGTGCTGAGTCGAATGGTCTTGGTCCGAGAAAGCTAAGACGCTCCCTTCCTACTTGAATCCCAATCGAACTCGCGCACTTCCACCGAAACTGGGTGACTGCACCCTACTAGATGGGGATTTGTATGCAAAATGTCACTAAAAGGGCCATTTCGTTCTTATAAAAGCACGGATCACCGCGATTGGCCCATATGTTATAGTCTTTTGGTCGCTGAGTCGACTGGTTTTGGTCCGAAAAGGCTGCAATGCAGCGTTCGCCCCTAATTCCCAATCGAACATGGTAGAACAAGCGGTCACGTGCTCCTGCGTACACCAGTCACCTGGTCACCGTGCCTGCAGGGTACAACTCACAGCCTGTTTTGACCTTTTTTGGGTGCAGTCCTGTCACTCGAGTTGAACCTTGGTGTGAAAATTGTCGCCTGCTGGCGTGGTGACCAGGTGATTTTGGCACCCAGGAGCACGTGACCGCTTCTTCAACCATGTTCGATTGGGAATAAAGGAGGAACGCTGCATCGCAGCCTTTTCGGACCAAAACCAGTCGACTCAGCGTCCAAAAGACTACAACATATGGGCCAATGCCGGTCATCCGTGCTTTTATAAGAACGAAATGGCGCTTTTAGTGACATTTTGCATACAAATCCCCATCTCGTAGGGCGCAGTCACCCAGTTTCGGTGGAAGTGTGCGAGTTCGATTGGGATTCAAGTAGGAAGGGAGCGTCTCAGCTTTCTCGGACCAAGACCATTCGACTCAGCACCCCGAAGACTACAACTGGTGAAATTTTAATTTTTGCCTTAACTTCCCCTTTAAAGCGCAAAACTGGTACCAGGGACCAGTTCCGATCACATCACTGCACTTGCATATGTGTACGTCTAGCCGCATTCGTACCGCATCATGGGCGTTGATCCAATTTGTACAACGACACAATGATCCGACAATATGAAATACACTCATAACTTGTTTATCCGGGCACTGCCCGTTACTTCGAAATGTCCATAACTCCTAATCACATACTTTTTGACGGGGAATGGCCATAGATAATATAGCATATGTCGTCACTATTTCCAGAAAAATTGCCAAAAGAGTAGTAACATTTCCACTTAAACTCAACCAAAGGGTGTCCGGTAGCCTGAAATTCCCGTAACTTTGGGGTCTGGATAACCGAGGTATAAGTGTACATGTATGTCTGTACACTAATGGCAATCATGCAATGTAAATACCAGACAAGTAGTACCATATCCACCAACTGTTGAATTCCACTCTGAATTGTTTTGCTTTGATCTACAGTTGTGACTGTGTTCTACAATAAAACCCATTGAGAACTTTTTCCTCTACTGTTGTTTCTTGCGTGTGCATCCAGCATGGCGACACTCCGTTGCATGATGCCGCCAGTATAGGTAAACTCGATGTGTGTCAAGCGCTGCTCCCTGCAGGGGCGGATTGCAACATCAAGAATGAGGTAAAGCACAGTGACATTGAGTGTCATGAACCAGGATGATCATGTTCTGTTTTGCACTGTACAATTAACGTGCAAACAATCATCTGTTCTCAGATGGAGAGCCATGGTTTAATTTATACAAAAGAGAAAGACCAAGCTGATTGTTTAGTAACTGGTGGTGTTAGTGGACAGTAAAGCGTAACTTGTAGTTCCTTGGTCTTTCTCTTTTGTATAAATCATCTGTTCCTTGACCTTTATCCGAGTGGAATCCTGTCCTAACCCGAAAATTCTCATCTACTGCCTCCTCACCCCATCAATGTGTGCAAGTCTTTGGCCCAGTTTGTTGTGTCTATTGTTCTCAAAATCGGTCACGCTCCCATTGCTTGGTATAGTGTAGAGAGACGCCATCATGCCAGAATCTTTCACCTCAGCATGTCCCGACAGAACAATAATTATTATGTTCCATCTATTACACGTATGAGGGGCTAGTATGTCGAAGTACAAAAACTCGGAACGACTTCAGGAGGAGCATACAGGAGAACTTCTGGAGCATGAGCTGGAAACAGAAAGGTATTCCGAGCTACATGTATTTTGTATCTTATATTGCTGCAGGCTAGTGCAGCACAGACTCTATCCTCGTGGATAGTAGCAAGAGTGCATAAACAAGAGTATGCAACTGTGGTTATGGGTCAGTGCGCGGCTCTCTGGCTTTATTACGTAACTTACCTTCACCACGCTCTGAAAGTATGCACTCAAACCCAAACAGTGAGCAAGTACGGTTGTGAGTGTTGAAATCCGAACTAATAAAGTGCAAAGCTGTCACCCTGGACCAGTTCGGATTACATCGCTGCACTTGCATATGTGCACGTCTAGCCGCATTCCTACCACATCCTGGGCGTTGATCCAATTTGTATAACAACTCGAAGAGAATTGGTGAGCACACATGCTCATTCCCTGGGCACTGCAAATTGCCAAATTCACAACTCATTTCATTTTACAGAATCATTTTCAACATTTCATATGCATCCTGATGATGGTAATTTGCCGAAACGTTGAAAATGATTCTGTAAAATGTAATGAGTTCTGAAATTGCAGTGCCCAGGGAATGAGCATATGTGCTCACCCATTCTCTTCGAGTTATGAAGCTGCAGGATGCCTCACCGCTACTTCGTTTGTATAACAACACACTGATAAGAAAATATGACATACATAATTATATGTCTGTACACTAATGACAATCATGCAATGAAAATACTGTCTTGGACATGGAAATCCAGGAGAACGACCAGGACCGGCGCCCTCAGTGTACAGAACGTTACATGCAGCAGGGCATAGATTAACGGCCGGACATCGGACATTTTCCGGCCATTTTCGGCCACTGACCGGACGCTTTCAATTTCACCGGACATAGTGTCCGGTCAAAAAGGAAAAAAAGAGCAACGACCTTTCGACCTTTTTATGCAGAGTTGGGCTTTCTTCGGAGCTTCGTGCCAAATGTGACTTGCATATCGTACAACTAACACGTCTACACCGTAGCCTCAGGCGTAGACTTCACCAGATTTACTTGATCCGCCTGTAGCAACGCGGTTGCTACAGTCAATTCACACTTTCGACAGCAGAATGTTCGAAGTGTTCCGTGTGCATCAAGTTTGTAGACAGAGTCCGCAGTTGTAAAAACTTCAGCGAGGCTTTCATAAGGGGCCGTCCGTAAATATCGATGTTTTTTTAGAGACGATATTGGTGCTTCTCTCCCTTGACCCCCCTCCTTCCCCCCAGAAGACGCACATGTACATCTAGATAATGGAATCAATAATATTTTTGGATGCTCATGAAGTGCCAGGCCAGGATGTTGAGGGTCTGGTGTAGGCGTGAAAATCCCGCCGCACTCACGCAATAGCTGCATCGCCTAGGGAGAGCGAACCGGGTTGGCGCTGCAGTGCTCACAGCCATCGTGTACTGGTGTAGCCAAAGCGGCTACGCTCGGGCTTGAATTTTTTCAAATCCTTGTTCAGACAGTGAAGACTGGAAACTCTTGTGGAGTTCGTCCGTGTTTGTTCGCACTGCCTCTACGTCTTGAAAAAGGTCTCCTGCAGGCATCGTTCGGCCGATTTCCACAATCAATAGAGAGGTTGTGCATAACGAAAATTCGTAACTTAGACGTAGTCTGGGCACGAGTAACGAAAAAGGAAAGGAACTTTCGCGAGGCCGATCGCGAAACTTGAAGATCTTACGTTTTGAACTTTCGCTTCTTTCTCGCAAGCTTCTGTATACATGTACATGTAGCTGTGTTGATGCACGTGGTGTCAAGATTTTTTCGCCATGGCTGTATCCTGTGGAGCTGATGGATCTCTTTCCCGGTCTCTCAGCGATCCTCTGTCACCTGGACAGCGCTCGGCTAGTTCTGTCAGTTCTGTCAGATCTGGAAGTCCTGTCAGTGCTCGCTACGCCCTGTGACAAATTATTCTGCTGAATCCCCGCAGCAGAATTCTGCCACTTCGGCGTCTTCGTCTTCCCCTGCGACGTCTCAGCGAAGGACATTTGATCTCGCGATGGACCTGGCCCTTCTCAGGCAGCTTCGTTCTCACGACCAACCGTTTCGACGAGGGTCTCCAGCCATGGAGATCGTTGCCTGTGAGCTGGAAAACTTGAGCCCAACTCAGTTCGGTGGTGTGCCTACACGTGGGCCATGGGCCGGAGTACACACTTGATTCCAAAAAATTGTTCACCACGCGCGCAAACAACGGAAAAAGTACTCGAAAGGGTCACCATGGTCACACTACGTTTTTCGTTGAGCACAACAGATTTTCTTTACGAATTTTCGTCACTTCCAGATGGCTCAGATTCCGAAAGATCTTTACGAATTTTCGTTATGCACAACCTCTCTATGGACCGTATGCGTGTTAAAACAAAATGGCGTCACGATTTATTGAAAGTGGTATAGTTGGTGGAACGAGTGTTCAAACCCATTTGAACTTCATACTGTTCGTATTCTTTTTGACATGCTCTCTCTCCATCGTCCTTAGCTTTTGTTTGTTGAGAGCTGTTTTGGCTTTCTCCTATACCTCTGGGGGATGCCAAGTGATGGTTTTGAGAGGCTGGTGATGGCTGTGAGCGAGAGTTTGCCGATCGGCGTCGTCCTCGCTATAGCGATGAAAATACTAGTTACTGCGCACCTGGCAGATATCACAACACGTCGGAGCGTCCAGGAGCAAAGGAATCTTGGGTTTTCACTGGAATCTAGTTCCTCCAGCATCGTGTAGCCCACCGTCGGTGAATGGCGGTCCAGAAAGGTCGAAACTGGTCTTCTGCAGCATCTCGCAGTCCTGCGAGGCACACTGAATACGCCTGTCATGTATTCTACAAATAAAAATCACGAAGTTGTGGACATTACAGTGATGAGTCTATCCTGTATGCTGCAAAAGACGCAGGAAATGTGACTGGTGTCCGTACACTGGACGCCAATATCATCCCAGTCTTCTCCTGCAGGATCTGTTTGACATTGACATACCGGTATGCAGTGGGTCGACATTGGCCTGGTTTGGCAGCTATCTGCCTGGGTGGATGTAGCAGGTTTGCATTGGCGCGTCGTCCAGTCCGACATTTTCTTGTAACTGTGGAGTACCGGCAGGGTTTGAGAGGTTGCTCGTGCTGTGAACACATCTCTACTGCCTGTCTCGTCCTGGAAGTGCCGTCTCGCCGCTTCCTTGCTCTACAGTCACGCCGTTATTTCGCTTTGTTTCGTGGTGCAGCTCAAAACCTGCCCAAACAACTGTGAGCTCGCAACATGGTATGGACAAATTGCACCACTCATGCTGGTTAACTAAAACCGGGATAGTCGAGTAAGCGAGTTCACTCCCTGGGCCATGGCAAGATCTGTTCAGCGCGGGCTATTCCAACCTCCAAGTGCATAGTCACCGATCGATCCATGCGATGGTGGTTGAGCTACAAAGAGCCAAGTTCTACGAGTACTACTATTGGATGCTGTCTACATGCAGTCAACAAAATCAAAGTACCTCAGTATGCCCCAGAACAGGGCATGTGCATCTATAGCATGACACAACAGGGGTTCTGGCGGCACCTGTCAAACAAGCAGTAGCGACTAGTGCCAGCTACCTATTGGAGGCTAGCCGCTACAGTCTGTCACTGGAGATAATTATTATGTTCACTGTTTAGACTGAGCACAATCAATGATGCCCAATCAATCTGCCCAATGTGTGTTCTGTTCCACCTAATTATAACGTCCCATCGCATCAACCCTACTACACGCACACGACTTGTGTTATTATTGTTTATTTTGATTCGCACGATAAATAGAGCACAATAAACGTTAACTTGACCGAAGGTTAAAGGCGACTGCAGATAGAGGAACACATCGAGGTACAGGTACCGGCATCAATACAGTATCAGAGAGAAACAAACAAAAATGAGAGGTATGCAGAAAAAACTCTCGTAAGCCCAAGGGGAAGTGGTTGATGTGGCATGAATGCACTCTCCACGCTCGTCTACACTGTTCGTGGAAATGCACACATACATACAATAATATACATCATAGCAATAGCATGCACAGAACCGAACAATTTCATGTTCACAGATGCAAGCACAGACCTGAACATTAGTACCAAAAGCCGATACAGACAATATCCCCATACACACAGACGCACACACACACAATGTCCCATGTATGCGCCCGTGGCGAGAAAAGCACGCAAATCTAAAAATGCACTGGATGTGAACCCACAGATTTTCTCTAATAGCAAAGATAGCGGATCAGATTCTGAATGAAACACACACACAATACAATCATTGAATGCCCATCCACAGATGATGGCAGGTCCTGAAAGGACAGGCAGTGTTCCAGTGATGGGGAACAGAACTTCGAGTGGCGAGTGAGGTATACACACACACACGTGCGTGCGCGGGCACACACCAAAGTATGAAGAAATAGAATCGACATCGTAGTATTCATTGGTTTGGGAATGGAAAGGAAAATAAAACATTGCTGTAGGTTATTGTTGTAAGGACACTGGGAGCACAACAGAAAGGTAAGCAACTTGCTTTGAAGCAAAGAAAGTTATTATTCCACGGATCTCAGAAGGAAGGAACGTTCCAGAATGCTGCACTGGCAACAGGCGGCCTGCATGTGCGCGGCCCATGCAGTCGGTCCAGCTGCCGGCCTTGCAGTGCTGAAAAGAATGTGCAGTACAGCATGTCACATAGTATCGCAGCCTGGACAAATAGGCGCTGGGAAGTCCTAGTTATGTGCTCACCTACACCACGATGCACCAATCTTCTGAGCTGCTTTGGCAACAACTTTGTCCACTTGAAACTCCCATGGGCTGAGCCAGTTGTTGAGGGCTGCATCAAGGTGGACGGCAATGACCGCTGATGGCAAGGCAATCCATGACACACAGTCACTAGGGCATCGTCAACATGGCGCTGAGGCTGGATCGATAAGATCAACCTTAAGGCTGCCGCGGGGTTGACAACGAGGCCGCTGTCTCGAAGCTAGTCAGTCAGCCTGGTCACCGCCATTGACGAACCAGTCGCCACCGCCAGCAGTGGCGGTAGGTTGTGACAAGTGTGGTGCAATATTGTCAGCAAATTCAGTACTCAGGATAAGATGAGTGACAAAGGGAACGTTGTGTTTGATAATATTGAAGTGAACAGGGATGATCACAAACCCTGCGCGTACTCCACTGTGAGTTACAAGAATATTCCGGACTGGACGACGAGCAAACACCAACCTGCTACATCCAACCAGGCAGATACTATTACGATAGCTGCCAAACCAGGTCAATGCTGACCTACTGCATAATGTCAATGTCAAACAGATCCTGCAGGAGAAGACTGGGGTGTTGGCGTCCAGTCACTGAGTGTACAGACACCAGTCACATTTCCTGCGTCTTTTGCAGCATACAGGATAGACTCATCACTGTAAAGTCCACAACTTCGTGATTTTTATTTGTAGAATACATGACAGGCGTATTCAGTGTGCCTCGCAGGACTGCGAGATGCTGCAGAAGACCAGGTTCGACCTTTCTGGACCGCCATTCACCGACGGTGGGCTACACGATGCTGGAGGAACTAGATTCCAGTGAAAACCCAAGATTCCTTTGCTCCTGGACGCTCCGACGTGTTGTGATATCTGCCAGGTGCGCAGTAACTAGTATTTTCATCGCTATAGCGAGGACGACGCCGATCGGCAAACTCTCGCTCACAGCCATCACCAGCCTCTCAAAACCATCACTTGGCATCCCCCAGAGGTATAGGAGAAAGCCAAAACAGCTCTCAACAAACAAAAGCTAAGGACGATGGAAAGAGAGCATGTCAAAAAGAATACGAACAGTATGAAGTTCAAATGGTTTTGAACACTCGTACCACCAACTATACCACTTTCAATAAATCGTGACGCCATTTTGTTTTAACATGAATATCGCGGATTAGCTCATTCTTTTGCTCTTGAAATTCGCCATGGGCGTACAGCTTCCAATTTTTGATTTTGTTCTGTATTGTGTCGCGAGTTTTAGCTCCGCGAACGGAAGCTGGTTTCACATTTCTTGTATAGCCTAGCCATTTAGACGTCCGCGTGCAGGGATCGGCGAAACTTCAGATATTTACATCGATTTTTTCTGATGCTCGAAAAGACGCACATGGCTCAAACCCCCTCCCCCCCCCCCCCCCCCCCAGACGCACCAATATCGTCTCTAAAAAAACATCGATATTTACGGACGGCCCCTAACCGGATCCAAGAACCTGAGAATATCAGCGTTCAAGGATCATGCTGGAACGGAGATGCATAAACGAGCAATGAATCTTTTCCGTAGGCAAGAGTGTCCTGCTCGAAATGCCCTCGAATTCGCTCCAATTGCGAAGGCACTGTGCAAGATGGACGATGGTGCTGCCGCTATTGCACGACGCAAATTCGAACTGACTTACCTTCTCTGCAAGGAGCATATCGCGTTCGCAAAATTCTTGACTGCAACGCTTTCTTGTACATACATTTGTCGTCAGTAAAAAAAAAGTTCAGTTTCTAATACAAATAATAGTGTTGAAACGATCTCACCGGATACTCGTTAGCTCGCTCGCCAGAAACTCGGCTCGTTTGTGCAGCCAGCTCGTTTGCACTAACGAACACCGTACACCGTACTCCGTACACATGGCAGTACATGTCGACCGGGACGGGGAGTAGTAAAATATTTTACGACTCCCTGGTCGATCGAGAGTCCAGTCCCGCGCAAAGTGAAAATCACTCGCAGTTACAGGTGACTGTATGCCTGCACGACACTTGAGTTGTTTCAGTTGTCGTTGCAGCTTTGGTGGACTCTACTGATGTCTTGTTCCGCATCTGCTGACCTGTCGCAGGATATGCTTCGGTCACCTCTCCATTCGAGTGAAAGTTACGCTCAGTCGTTTGGAAGTTTTCTCCCTCGATGCAGCGAAGACCAGGGCTACTTGCAATCTTTGCGAAACGGTCTGTTCTTACAAAAGCTAATCGACGACGGCGCTGAAAAGACATCTTGACACCAAACAGCAGTCCGAAGTGAAGCAGCAGCAACCCCAAATGCTGCCGGCGGTGAACCAGCTGAAAAAAATCGAACTCAGAAAAAAATATTCAAAAAAATAATCATATTTGCCACATCAATGAAACTCGTTATAGCTCGCTCGATAGCTTGCTCGTTAGTGGAACTGATCGCTCGTTTGTTATAGATACGCTCGTTTCAACACTAACAAATAAATTGGCGAATTGTACATAGTAATGTGCGAAATACGTCCACATAATGAGTCATTGTGAATATACTTCAGTACTACTAAAAAAAAGAAGAAACACCCTGAAAATGTGTTGTGGAAAATGTCCGGTCATGTCCGGACAGATTTCAAAACGGAAGGACATTTGTCCGAGCTAAATGAAATCCTTAAGCTATGCCCTGTGCAGTGCACATGTTGATCCGATATGACCAGCGCACTGCTTGTGTGTACCGTAGACTACGCATACCGAGCCAAGGCTACGTGGACAGTGCCCAGGGGCCGCTAGACGTGCGACCGGATTTCCATGTCGACGGCAGTACCAGACAAGTAGAACAATATGAACAAACTGTTGAATTCCACTCTGCATTGTTTTGCTTTGATTTACAATTGTGACTGTGATCTATACTCAGACTTCTCAAGAACTTTTTTTCCTGTACTGTTGTTTCTTGCATATGCTTCCAGCGTGGCGACACTCCGTTGCACAAAGCCGTCTGGGGTGGAATCGAGGTGTGTCAAGCACTGCTCGCTGCAGGGTCGGACTGTAACATCAGGAATAAGGTAAAGAACAGTATTTAGAGTGTCATGAACCATGCTGATCCTGTTCTGTTTTTACACTCTAAAATTAACATAGTACAATAGATCATGGGTTCCCCTGAACTTTTAGTTTACGCAAGTGGAATCCTGTCATAACCGGAAAATTGTTCATCTACCGCCTCCTCACAGCTGTAGTGTTTGCAGATCTTTGCCCCAGGGTGTTGTGTCTCTTTTCCTTAAAATCGGCCACATCGCCTATTGGTGTCGGTGTCCCAACGCATCCCAACACTCAACAGAATACTATCAGTTATAGTTACATTACATTATATTACTGAAACGGAAAGGTGCTTGGAAGTTTCCCGCCAGCTTTGTTATGTACACTTCCGTACACATATCCTGCTTCTGTGTGTGCACTAAGTTACATCTACTGAGCTTGGTATACACACTCTTTCGGCACAGGTCGTCTTGTTTGCAAATTGTTTAGAGATACTAGGCTTTTCCTATGGTACTTTGCATGTAAATACCGAAAACTAGGCCCAATGACAAGACCTGAAACTCCAGGTCTCTGGCCACTGTGGTCCTTGATATTTTGGAAATGGTGGCCAAGACTATTAACCACGGGGTAACAGATTTGATACATTCTCCAAAAGAAGGAACGCAGCACAGTAAGGGATGCAATCTTGCTCAAACTGCGTAAAATACTCAAAATTCATGCAATTGCAGCTGAAAGTATTCAGGTCGTGAAGTCCAAATTTGAATTTGCAATTTGTATTTGCTCGCAGTGGACATAGTTTGATGCGCTGCCCATTATATCAAGCGAATGGCCGAGGGCCCTCTTGATTGGTGTGAGTTGCCAGTATGATGCAAGCCAGATATGGATTGATCGAAGAAGGATAGATTTGCCATCACTGTGGATAAGAGTCCTACTGTAGCTCAGTTGGTTAGAGCATTGCTCGCGAATAGCAAGGTCCCTGGTTCGAGTCCCGGTGGTGTGACTGATGATTTTTCTTTTTTTCATGTCTAGCTTGCAAGTGTTGAGTTTCGGAGAGAAAAGAGCAGTACGTGGCATGTGGCCTCTAATTTCCTAACACTTTGAAATTCTCCGTGAAGTCCAAATTTGAAATTGCAATTTGTATTTGCTTGCAGTGGACATAGTTTGATGCGCTCCCCATTATATCAAGCGAATGGCCGAGGGCCCTCTTGATTGGTGTGAGTTGCCAGTATGATGCAAGCCAGATATGGATTGATCGAAGAAGGATAGATTTACCATCACTGTGGATAAGAGTCATACTGTAGCTCAGTTGGTTAGAGCATTGCTCGCGAATAGCAAGGTGCCTGGTTCGAGTCCCGGTGGTGTGACTGATGATTTTTTCTTTCTTTCATATCTGGCTTGCAAGTGTTGAGTTTCGGTGAGAAAGAGCAGTACGTGGCATGTGGCCTCTAATTTCCTTAAACTTTGAAATTCTCCGTGCAGTCCAAATTTGAAATTGCAGGTCGTGACCTGAACACAATTTATATACACTGAATGGAAGTTAGTTAGTTAACCCATTTAGTGCCAAGAACGAGATAACTCGTCCTGAAACAACCACCCAGGATGGCCAAGGATGAGGTAACTCGTCACGCACACGGAGCATATGGAAACAAACATAGATCACGGTACAAATAGCTGTAACCTTGGGCTCCCTACTTCAAATTCAACAAATGACGGCTCATTGGAAAGCTATTGAATGCAGCTTTCCAATGCTGTATCATTCGATATAAAATAAAAAATAAAATAAAAATTTCACGGTTCGCGTGAGACTCGGCTGGAAGCCGAGTTTTCCGCATCCGCCGTGGGAACGCCACCACCCTCTAGGATCAAAGGCGCAGATGCAGCGCCTAAACGGTGGGAGGTGAGTAGATCAGACCCACCACCAAGTGGTCAAAGACCGAAATCCCATTAGCTGCATCCATGTTACCCTCGTGCCAGGCCACGAGTTCCCAATTAACTGTGGGTCGCAGCACGGCTGGAAAAATTCCTTCCGCTTCCAAGCAGGACTTGAACCTGGTACCCTCTGTTTCTCAATCATGGTCTTAGACCATCCCACTATGCCTGCCTCATTCGATATAGCGGGAGTAAAATACGCAAGCGCCGAAGCTCAAAGTTCGGGAAACGAGTGAATGTCAAATTTCAAGCGTGTGACTGTGATGCACTTCATGCTAGCTGTAAAGTTGACGAGGTGTTTGATCACGGGAGATTTCCCCAGTGCACAGCTCATGCGTGACATACACCAACATGAGCGCTAAAAAACCTGATTCTGCTGGTGTTTGAATCATTGCTGTACGTTGAGTGTGACTGCAAATCAAAAGAACTTGTCTCTGAGTGTAGAATAGCACTACCAGGGCACGTTGGAGCGGCTTTTGACACTAATAGACCAATCCCGAAAAGATTGTCTGGGTTCGTGAAAGGGGGCACGCGTGCAAGCCAGCACGTGTGAAGTGCATCGTTTTGTATTCAGTTTGTGTGTGTCAGCTCATGGCGGAGGAGAGAGAGACTTTTGCTCGCCGAGCTGAAGCTAAAGGATTTGATGGAGTCCTGCCAGCAGCTAGTCAAAGGACCTTCGGTACCTTAGGCAGACCCTGACGGAGTTTGGAGGCCAGATAGCTCTCGGTGAGGAGAGAAACATTCGCGTGGCGATCGACTCTCCGTAAAAAATGCAAGCTACATAGCGCCGACATACTGCAACAGCTACGATTTCAGCTAACTTCTCGATCTGCTGCTTCACAAAGTTCAACTATTTACAAGTCCTGACTGTTGTAGTCTGAAGCTGGAGTCTCATCGCCCACCTACAGGTAGCTTTTGGAGCTGATGGATTTCCCGACTTGGACTCCTTCGGCAAACTCTCGCAACATTACTACAGACATGGTACCTCCCCCAGCAAGAGTTAACGCTGCACCCCGGACGCGCCGGCAACGCCAGTCCCTCGGTGGCCACTCTTTCCAACTCGCAACTCCTCTGCCAGCCTCCAGTCCAGAGTTCATCCGCCGCTCCTTCCCATACTTTGTCCTGGAGAGCTGGAACACACTGCCTGCTCCAATCCTCGCCGAACGCCCAACTCTCAAGAAATTGCCGACATTCAAGACCAAGGCCTACCATCACCTCCGCCAGACCAATTGGCTATGGGCCACTGAAGTCCACCAGCACTGAGAATAACCGGTTGTCTCTATTATTATCATTTTCTGTCTCTCTCTCTGTCTCTCTCTCTCTCTCTCCCTCTCCCTCTCCCTCTCCCTCTCAGTCTCCCTCTCCCTCTCCCTCTTTCTCTCCCTCTCCCTCTCCCTCTCCCTCTCCCTCTCCCTCTCCCTCTCCCTCTCCCTCTCCCTCTCCCTCTCCCTCTCCCTCTCCCTCTCCCTCTCCCTCTCCCTCTCCCTCTCCCTCTCCCTCTCCCTCTCCCTCTCCCTCTCTCTCTCTCTCTCTCTCTCTCTCTCTCTCTCTCTCTCTCTCTCTCTCTCTCTCTCTCTCTCTCCCTGTCTCTCTGTCTCTCTCTCTCTCTCTCTCTCTCTCTCTCTCTCTCTCTCTCTCTCTCTCACTCTTCCTCTCCTGGGAAGCTCCTCATGCTCATTCTCCCTTTCTCTGTCCATTTCCCCTTCCTGATGCGTAGACCAACTGTTGAACCCGAGACCACTAGGTCGGGGGAGGTTGACCTACCTCATCGGCACGCATGCCACGCTCCTCTGTGTTGTCAAAGTTCGCTTGTCCACTTTTGTCTACCTCCCCTTTTATGTTGCTGGCCAGTGCTTTGTAGTAAAAAAAAAATAAAAAAAAAAAAAAAGACAGTGTATGCTGTGTTTCCGCACGCTCGTGTCGACATGTCACCTATACTGTACATGTACCGGATCGCGGAGGAGCTTGACGACCTCCGCTGACTCCAGGTTTCCGAAATACTGCCGTCGTCTTCGGTGATGTCGCTGGTGACATTCTCCCCTTGCAGGACGTGCACATAGTTGTCGTCCCAGGGGTAAAGACTATGTTGTCTTTCGAAATAGTTCTTCATCACGCTCGCGCGAATGATGTTTCTCATCATGAACTAGTTCCGACGGTGTGACACGGCGATGGTCTTTGGCGGGGCACTGGCTTGGCGAAAACGATATCTTCTTGTGCAAAATAACTTTGATCGGCTGCAGATGAGTACAGTCACTTCGTGGTTGGTCCTATAGGAGGGCAGCTGCCAGGAAAGAGGCAGGACTCATCGAAGACGAAGCGCTCGCAACAAACAATAGCACTCGAAATATCTCGTAAGATTTAGGGCCTATCGCTTTGAGCCACAGCGCTCACAGCCTTGCCTGCTTCATCAAAGTGAGCTCTACATGTTCGTTGACCTCTTCACACTACACAGAAGAGCGAAACAAGGATTATGTCTTAGCATTTCAACTCCAACAGCAGATCATTACCAGTGCGAGAGAGAAAACTACAAAGGGCTTCGCTTTCTGTCGCATCGTCTCCATGGTCTCTCTTGCATGCAACTAACGAGAAAACCGTGTACTTACCCTCGCATTCACACGCGAACTATCAAACACGTCCAGTGCCGCATGCTGATCAGGTAGTGCCATGTATGTGTTGTACAGTGTACTCTCACTCTGCATTGTTTTGCTTTGATTTCCACTTGTGATTGTGATCTAAAATCAGACTCATTGAGAAAGTTTTAGTGTACTGTTGTTTCTTGCGTGTGTATCTAGCATGGTGACACTCCGTTGCACCATGCCGCCATGAGAGGTAGAATCGAGTTGTGTGAAGAGCTTCTCGCTGCAGGGGCAGACTGCAACATCAGAGATGGGGTAAAGAACAGTATATAAAGCAGACAATCTGGTAAAAGGAGAGCGATCGCTCTCGCGCGCCTTTGATCTCCTTATTTTCTTTTAGGGCGCACTTTTCATCACGCGCCTTGAGAATTTTGAGCGCATCCGCATCACTATGAAGTTTTGAAAACAGTCAATTATTTCGTAACTCAGCTTTCCCTGAACGGAATCGAGTAATCGAAAGATCTATTCGCATTAGAAAGTTCTCAGATGTCAGGTCCAACAAATCGGACGTCGATCCGAGGTCCAATAGTGGAGTTACGGCACTCGCAAGGTATTTTACGTACCATTGCAAATTTTCACTTCCGCACACATAATTTTGACATGAAGGATTTCCCTCTGTTGCGTGACAGTCCGGGCATGCATAGACCTGTGGACGTGGGACGCCAGGCACAGGTCTTTAGCCGTCAGCTAAGCCTCAAACTAAAGGAGCGCTCTACGATGAATACTACAAAATACCATGGATCTTACTTCTTAGCGAATTGTCTCAATTTCCCATTGCGTATGCCATTGTCCCTGATGAAGGGAAACAAAAGTTGTGGTCCGAACAGCTTTCATTTGTAGTGCATACGGCGATTTTCCAGATCGAATTTGGCAGCTATTGGGTATTGAATCCGATTGGGGTATGGCAAGATGTTGAAAAAACCCGTATTGTGCTCGCCTTGGATATTTATTTTTTTATTTTTATTTATTGCAGCATCTCATAGCACAGTGAGAACACCGGCCAATACAAAGAGAGAGGGTGTTAGTCAACCACGGCAAGGAAGGGAGAAGGGGAGGAGAAGAAAAAAAGGAACCGGCATGGATAAGTAGTGATTGCAACAAAATGAGAAACACAAAATCAAAGTCAAGGCGCGACAAGGCTCTTAAAAAGGCGGAGGGAAGAAAGGTCCTTAGCTTCTTGGGGAAGTGCCAGCCACGCAGAGTACGCAGTGAAAAGGGGAGAGTGAAGTAGAAAGGAGGACTTGGGTTTCGGAAGGGAAAGGGAGTTTCTCGTGCTACGGGAAGAAAACCAGTTGAAACAGTGAAGGTGAGGTGGACACAGATTGAGTTTGAGAGAATGGATAAGGGTGACAAGATGTGAATTACGTCTCTTAGACAAAGGGGTAGTGTGAGCAAGGGCATAAAGGGTGGAAGATGGGAGCATGCGGGGTTTCCGGAGGAGGATTTTTAGAACTTTTTGTGCTGAATTTCGAGCTTTTCAGCACGGGTTGTGGAAATTCCAGCCCAAGCAGTATCTGCATAATCAAAAATGGGGCGTATGTAAGCTGAGTAAAAGAGGAGTTTACAAGAGATTGGGAGATGGTAACAGTGAGAAGAGAGAATTCCTAAAGATGAACTTGATCGTTTACATAATTATGTAATCGATGTGGGGTTCCCATGAAAGATTAGAGTCAATGAAAATGCCAAGATGCTTATGGCTGGAGACTATGTTTATAGGCTGGGGGAAAGTGGGATGGAGGAGGGGCGGAACATCAGGCTGAGAAGGAAAGAGCATGATTTTAGTTTTAGACAGATTGGGCGATAACCGCCAAGACGACGTCCAGGAAATTACTCTTTGAATCCCGTTAGCTAGGCTACTCATCAGGCCAGTGATGTTAGGAGATGCCCGTAGGAGCGTTGTGTCGTCTGCGAATAGTGATGTGCCCGGGGCAGCTGCGGGCAGATCATTGACGTATAAGATAAAAAGAAGGGGGCCGAGGATGGAACCCTGGGGAACTCCGGATAGTACTGTTGTGTCGGCTGAGGACGTCCCATGTACCGTGACGTACTGCGTTCGCCCAGTTAGGTAAGATGTCAGCCATAGCAGGGGATTGCCGTCTACAGTAAACGATCCACGAAGCTTGGCCAAGAGCCCCCGGTGCCAGACGGTATCGAAGGCCTTGGCAAGATCGAAAAAACAGATCCCGACTAGGTCTCCAGCATCCCGATGTCGACACACTAATTGCACCAGGCGCGTCAGCTGGAGGGTGGTAGAATCGCCTCTGCAAAATCCGGACTGAGCTGAACTCAAACGTGACGAGACATGACAGTACAATTGGTCGTGGAAAACGCGCTCACAGAGTTTGGAAACACAGGACAGTAGAGATATCGGACGGTAGTTTGATGCTTCGTGGCGGGACCCTTTCTTGTAGATCGGTATGACATTAGCTGTTTTCCATGCAGAGGGAAAACGACCAGTGCGGAATGATAGGTTGAAAATCAGACATAGGGGGTATGCTATTGAGGGCGCAAGGGACTTTATTACCAGATTAGTGATGCCGTCTGGGCCTGGTGCCTTGTCAGACGGGAGCTTTCGAATGTAACGTCGGATGGCAGCAGTCGTAGTAAAGACAGATGTGAGGCGGTCAGCCTCACCCGACTCCTCGGCAATGGGGGGAATGGGTAGAGAAGGGTCATCAGGCACGGCCACTGAGGCGAACTGAGAGTTCAATGCAGTGGCTTTAGCTGAAGAGGTAGTAGCCTGCTGTGTAGAACTAATGGTGAGTGTCGGGATGTCACGAGATACTTTATGATTTTTTAATTTGCTCACGAACTGAAACAGTGATGGGCGGTTTTTGTCCTGCAGCGTAGCTTGTACGGACCGAATGTATCCCCGGTATTTCGATTGAGTCAGACTCTTCACCAAGTTCCGTTGAGATCGATATACATGCATGTTAAGCTGGGTTGGGTATTTCTTACACACACTGTAGAAATCGTGCTTTGCCAGATAATAACAATAATAATAATCCTTATTTCAGGATTGCCCAAAGGCTAACGCCTATCTGGGGGACCTCCTATAAGGCGAGCGACTTTTTTGCGGGGGGGGGGAGGGTGGTGGTGACTGCTCTCCCACCACTCTCCTTGAGAGGATAGCGAGAGTGATTGTTCACTCTCCTGGATTTTTCTTACACGAAGGTCTGATAAAGTGTCATGAACTAAGATGATCATGTTCTGTACTTACACTGTATAATTTAGAAAGAATAAATCATGCATTCCCCTGACCTTTACCCAATTGGAACCCTGTCATGACGGGACAATTTGTCATCTAATGCAGCTCCTCACCACTGTGATGTGGACAGATCTTTGCCCCAGGGTGTTGTATCTATTTCCCTTAAAACAGGCGACATTGCCATTGCATACAAGATTGGTTTTTTCATCAGAGACGCCATCACGCCAGAAACCTTCACCTGAGCAGGTGCAGATGGAACAATATTTATGTTCCATCCATTACACGTATGAGCTGCTAGCATGTCAAAGTACAAGAACTCACAGGAACAGGTGTTACTCCCGTCGTTTCTTGCGCCAATCTATGTCTACACGTCCCAGACATTGTGAGTGCCCTTAAATTCCGAGACTGTGTAGGGAAATCCGCTTCCTTTGGCCCACATCAACCTTTCTGAAGATCATAAGTAGTACCGTACCAGGAATATACTATGAATCCGCGGCCACGTGAATTTGGCGGGGTTTCACTGAACCTGGATTACGAAAGCGATAAAAATTACAGACCCGGGATGAAGAGTTACAGTTTGGTTTTTGAAAATGGCAAAACACAAATCCCAAAATTTCTCCTGAATCATCCTGGAGGGATCAGATTAAGGCTGTCACCAAGTACAGTTGTGATCACTGAAAATCGGTACCAAAGTGCAAAACTGACACCCTGGACCAGTTCCAATTACAACTCCGCACTTGCATATGTGTGTGTCTGATCGCATTCGTTCCATATCCTGGGCATTGAACGAATTTGTAAAGCGACACACTGATAAGACAAAATGACATACATGTATGTCTGTACACTAATGGCAATCATGCAATGAAAATACTGTCTTGTCTTGGACATGGAAATCCAGGAGAATGACCGGGACCGGCGCCCTCAGTGTACAGAACGTTGCATGCAGTGCACATGTTGATCCAATATGACCAGCGCACTGCATGTGTGTACCGTAGACTACGCATACCGAATCAAGACTGCATGGGCAGCGCCCAGGGGCCGCTAGACGTGCGACCGGATTTCCTTGTCCACGGCAGTACCAGACAAGTAGTACCATATGAACAAACTGTTGAATTCCACTCTGCATTGTTTTGCTTTGATTTACAATTGTGACTGTGATCTACACTCAGACTTATCAAGAGTTTTTTCCTGTACTGTTGTTTCTTGCATGTGCTTCCAGGATGGCAACACTCCGTTGCACAAAGCCGTCTGGCGTGGAATCGAGGTGTTTCAAGCACTGCTCGCTGCAGTAGCGGACTGTACCATCAAGAATACGGTACAGAACCGGATTTAGAGTGCCATGAACCATGCTGATCCTGTTCTGCTTTACTCTTATTATTTTACTTGTTCGCGTTGGCATCAACCTGCATAAAGCAGGTATATAGCCTTCGCTTAAGCTGCCATAAAAAAGAAAGCTCATCCTAAGCGAGAGGGCTAGAGGGAAATATAACGATAACGAGATACAGAATACAAAGAAATCCAATGAGTTCAACGTACAATTCAAAACAAGAAAGAAAGGAAAGAAAAACAGAGCCGAATCTACCGATTGATCCATCAATCGACAAAGGGGACTAATCCGTTAGTGTTGCAAAGTAGAAGCTGATTATAGTTGCAGATCTCCAGGCCAGGGCCAGCATATTGCCGATTCTGGATAGGTCTCCGCAGCATTTGATGTGGTAATTATCATAATGTTTGATAAAATTGTTAGAGTATCTAGTATCTAGAGTACCGAGTATTTAGTATCTAGAGTATCTAGTGTAATTGTATCCGTTATTATTGTTAAGGGTATCTAGTGTAATTGTATCCGTTATTATTGTTAAGGGTATCTAGTGTAATTGTATCCGTTATTATTGTTAAGGGTATCTAGTGTAATTGTATAACTTCAGCCATTACACACAGCACACATTAGTTCCTTCCACTTTCGACGATCCTGGGCGAGCTGCCTCAGTGCAACTAGATCCTCGTGTGATGTGAGGGAGTTTGTGGATCTGGAATTTTTCAGATCGTTGTTGATGGATCGCGGGAGTGTTGTTCTCGGGCGGCCTCGGAACCCTGAGCTTCCTGGCTGAAAGTATGCTGACATAGCCTGCTGGACCGGGGATGAGGTGTCTAGTCGAAGCATGTGGCCAAACATTCTCCACCTAGCAGACTGGATGATTCTGCTGAGTGGCTTGGAGCCAGTGCGCTTGTACAGTGCTGCATTGCGTATTGTACGGGGATATTTGACCCCTATGACTGCTCGTAACTGCTGGCGGTGGAACGAGTCAAGTTTCTTTTCTTGAGTCTCTGTCAGGCTCCATGTGCCGCAGTTATAAAGAAGTATTAGGAGAATAAAGCTGCCGTATAACCTAATCCGAAGGGGTTCACGGGCATGGTTACCTCTTAGCCATATCACCCACAGCTGATGTAAGGCGCATGTTGCTAGACGTTTTCTCCGACTGATATCTTCCTCCACTCCAAGCATCGATCCTAGTTTGACCGTGTTCCGCCATCGCTCGTCTACTCTGTCCTTTTCTCTTTTAATTGTAGTATATTCGGTTTTGGCTTCATTCATTTTTAAATTGTATTCCGCTAACGAGGATGATAGTATGGGTTGATTGTCATGCAAATATTGTAGGCTGGTGCTGATGAAGTCTACGTCATCCGCATACGCTGTTTCATTGGGCAATTGAAGCTGAGTATCCAATGCTGGTCGCGGTGAGAGTCGCTCTCGAATCAACCTCAATGCAGCCTCGAGGTAGACAGTAAACAGGACTGGCGATAGAGAATCACCTTGTGGGGTTCCATTATGTGTGACTAATGGTTGGCTGAGAATGTTATTCAGCTTTGCTTTTATTGTGGTGTCTGTCAGAAGGCACTGGATGATGTGCAGCTCATCATGATCAATGACTGTTGACAGTATATCGATCAGCCTGACCCTTGATATAGTGTCAAATGCCTTTGACATATCAATGCCTAAGATTGAGATCTCCGACGCAACACGCTGGCATCTTGCTGATAACCACCGATAGCTATATACCACGTCTCCAGTACTTCTCCCTGACCGGAACCCGCTCTGGTTCAGTGACAAGTACCCATTGATAGCTGGCTTGATCCGCGTCAGGATGACCAATGAAGGAAGTTTACGTAGGGTGTTCAACAGGGTAACTGGCCTTACAATTCCAGGAGGACCTCTTTTCTTTCCCGGCTTTGGTATCGGGATCAGTAGCCCATCGCCTAGCTTGAGTGATTTGTCTTTGGCATAATTGTTGAATGTAGTGGCAATGTTCGAGAACAGTGCTGGTGTTCGATAAGTTCAGCAGGTATCCCATCTGGTCCCGAAGCTCGGCCATTATTCAAGCGCTTAGCTGCGGCATGTACCTCTGGCTGCTTTATAGGGTTTTTAAGGTCTTCCTCTGTCCGTAAGAGCCTAGATGACTCCAGAGCAGGATCACAGAATATAGCACGGAAGTGTTGCCTTAATGCTTCGACTGATTCACTAGGTTGTGCAATGAGTTTGCCATCAGAGTCTTCAACCACAACTGGTGATTGCTGCTGTCGGCGCAGTAGTCGTGTTGCTTTGAACATTTTCGCGTCGTCTTTCATTTGGTCTATTTCAGCTACACGGTCGTCCAGTCGAGTCGATGCTAACTTGAGGCATTCCCGGCGAATTTGGTGTGCCAGCCTGTTGCGTCGCGTCTTCATTTCTTTTACCTTCGTTCCATCTCTGCACACCGTAATGTCGAGACGCAGTTTGCGTTTCTCTGCTGCTAGCTTTTCAATTTCCCCGCTGAAGCCATTTCTATGCGTCTTGTTTGTTTTAGGGACGCGGCCCACCGATGTGTTTGCTGCCTCACTCATAGCGTTCACAATATACTGCAGATGTTGCTCCGCATTGACACCTTCCTGCTCTCTGCCGAAGTCCTGTAGATGGTCGTTGATAGCCTCTCTGTACTTTGCTTTCTTGGTCGGGTCTCTAAATTCCGATATATTGAATTTTGCGTTGCTGGATATGGCTACTGGCGGCCTCTTGAGCTTCTTGTACAACTTAGTCAGGTTGAGGTTTGCCAGCACAAGACGGTGATCGCTTTCTAAGCTTGTCCCGGCGTATGATCTGGCATCCGTCACCACAAACCTTTCACTGTGACGGCAAAGGATATAATCTATTTGGTTGTAAATGGGTAAAGGTGGACCTCCACTAGGGTTGTGGCGCCAGCCTGTCCATGTGGTGATATGTTCTGCACGGTGCTGAAACGCCGTGTTACAGGCAAATAGGTAATTGCTGGACGCGAAATCAGCCAAAGTCTGGCCGCAGTAGTTGTGTCGTGGTCCGGCGGCCCGGAGTTAGGCCCCGGAGCCGCGGCACCAACATGACTAATCTACAACTATCCCATTACAGGCCGTGCAGTGGTGGCCGTAACTACAATTACATTATTAGACATACCGACACCACATACACTCGCACATCAGACATATTTAGACATGTTCGGGTCACACCACACCTAGACACACACTCACTCGCCGCGCCATGCCCTCACATGTACAGCACCCGCATTCACATACTTACACACATATACACACACACACACACACGCACGCACGCCTATACTTTCACATCGAGACTCACATCTTGCGGTCAGACATAATATCAAACGATACTTACCAAACGAGAGAGAAGAAAGTCGTGACTTGCCGTAAAGACGAAGTTGCGAGAGAGAGAGAGAGAGAGAGAGAGAGAGAAGGAAAGTCAACGCAATAGTATCTAGTTGCGCCCATGGAAGTCCATGGCCACGAGATTGCTGGTCCCGCATGCAATAGCGTATCACCGTAATAAATATGTGTACGAAGAGCGGGAGCCATGTGGGGAAATAACAGCGTAGACAAAATAAGGGAGGCCTCGTGTGAAGATATAAAATAAAGACGATTATGAACCCGTTTACGGGAGATAGATAAATAATAAAACAACTAAATAAAGCATACTTGTCCCGTAGAGGCCTAAAAGGCACGTGCCAATCGTATGGATACGACATATCCCCCCCGCTTACACGGAAAAGAACACGTCCTCGTGTTATAAGTAACGTAATAAATTAAACTAAGATTATGGCTAACAATTTAACTAAACGAGTGCAGGTCACAATTTGAGTTCCGATCAAAAACTGTTCAAAGACTAGCTGTAATATTGGCCACCACCAATCCAGTCAATACCACTGAAATCCTTACTCGTGCCAGACGGGACTCCCAAACAGCTGAGGTGGATGGCGGGAACGCGGGGTTCGCCTTTCCATCACGCCAACTGGCGGAGCACTGTCGAATACCCGAGCGGTGTCCTCCTCGTCTCGGGCGGCGGCATCAGTGGCATCAGGCTGGTAGGACGGAGTCAGGGTGGATGCCATGGGCTGCGGTGGGTCCGACTCATCTTGTTCGTGAACCTCCTGCAGCCGACTCGGTCGATGATGACAACTTTTCAGCCGGTTGACGTGCACTATCAGCCGACGTGCCGTGGGCTCAGACAGCTTGATGCGGTAGGTGACGGCGGAGAGCTTCTCCTCGACTAGGTACGGTCCGTGCCACAGTCTAGAAAACTTGGCGGTTGTACCCGTCGGAATGGCCGGCACCAGAAGCCACACTGCATCACCAGCTGCAAACGTCACGGCCTTAGCGTTACGATCACGGATATGCGCTTGATAGCGGTGCACGTTGCCCAAGTGCTCCCGAACCTGCGCATGAGCGTCCTCCAGGCGTCGGCGGAGAGCACTCACGAATTCCGGCTGGGACGCTACTGCGGATGCTGCTCCTGGCGGTAATCCAAATGCCAAGTCTTGAGGTAGGCATAGCTCCCGACCAAAGAGCAGATAGCTTGGACTGTAGCCGATACTAGTCTGCGGCGTCGAGCGGTATCCCATCAAGAAGGCTGGCAACTTGATGTCCCAATCTCGATGATTCCGGCAGACATAGTGCGCCAGGCCACGCTCAAGCGTCTGGTTGAATCTCTCAACCAGACCGTCACTCTGTGGATGGTACGCAGTTGTCCTGGTCTTATCTATGCCAAGCAGAAAGCAAACACTGCGAAACAGAGAACCATCAAAGTTTTTGCCCTGATCGGTATGCAACCGATCAGGAGCACCAAAACGTGACACAAACTCATTAACAAACACCAAAGCAATAGTGGAAGCATCCATTCTCGAAAGCGGAAAAGCTTCCACCCATTTAGTGAAATAGTCAACTACAACCAAAATATGGCGGTTCCCTTCCGCTGTCTCCGGCAAATTGGGGATCAAATCCATTGCTACTCGCTCAAAAGGATACCCCGTCCAGGAAGACTGCATTGGAGCGCCAGACCCTCTGCCAACGGGACGCTTCAACTGGCTACAGGAAGAACAACTTGCAACCCAATCCAAGACATCTTTCTTCATGCCTACCCAGTGAAATTGTTGCGTCAGTTTTTTCTGCAGGCGTGTAGAACCCGTATGTCCCCCCTGGTCATGATACTCTTGCAAAACCAATGAACGTAAATGCCGGGGAACAACAACTTGCAAGATAGACGGCTTACCGGGGCAAGGGTCCTCCCAACGACGGCACAACACCCCCTCATGATGAACCAGCATTTCATGATTTTTCCACAAAATACGTACCTCAGGACTGCTACCCATCATGTCCTGTGGGCAAGGCGGAGAGTCCATACCTAGCCAGGACACTGCTTGGGCGAGATCTCGGTCCTTCTCCTGTTCCATTTCCCATCTTGACCACGGCCAGTTGAAACGGCGGATGAGGGGTGTGGGGATGTTGCCAACGTCGTTGTTCACGGCCCCTACGAACAGCGTCGTCGAAGCGTCAGGGCGGCGTGACAATGCATCAGCGTTAGCGTGCGATCGACCTGCCCTGTACAATATGGTGAACTCAAATTCAGACAAAAATTCCAGCCAGCGAGCCACAATCGCCGGTGGATTTTTGAAATTAGCCAAGTGTTCTAGAGAACGATGATCAGTACGAATCACAAATTGTTTACCAAGCAGGTAGCAACGAAAATGTCGCACAGCCCATACCAAACCCAACAATTCCTTTTTCGTGGATGCGTACCGTGTTTCTGTATCGGCCAGAAGTCGACTAGCATACGCTATCGGCCGTTCCAGACCTTCCTGAAGCTGAGACAGCACTGCTCCTAACCCTAGTCCACTAGCATCTACGTCTACCAGAAATGGTGATGCATCTTGTCCAAACCTGGGGTAAGCTAGTACTGGGGCGGTTGTCAACACTGTCTTCAGATTCAGGAAAGCGGATTCACAGTCAGGAGTCCACAAAAACACTTGGCCAGTTGTCGTCAGGCTGTACAAGGGGCGGGCAATGGTGGCAAAATCTTGGGCAAACCGCCTATAATACCCACAGAATCCCAAGAAACCACACACTTCTCCAACTGCTTCAGGGGTAGGCCAGTTTCCGACTTTCTCGATCTTACCCGGGTCGGTCCTAACCCCCTCCCGGGTAACAATGTGGCCCAGGAACTCAACACTTGTGCGGAACAAGAAACACTTACTGGGCTTCAACCGCAGATCTGCCTTCAAGAGGCGGTCAAAGACCAACTGTGTCACTTTAGATTTCAGTTGCAACACTCCATAATCCGAACCCACAGTACTGATTGAGGCGGGGGAGGTAGAGAAGAACATTCGCCCTTGTCCCGAAGAAATTGTGCAAGGAATGTGGGATAATACGTCCCGGCCAACAATACAATCACGCGGCAACCCCTTAACCCTTAACAATTCTTACCCGGTGCCAACAGGTTGCATCTCCGAGTTCCAACTGAACAATTGCTTACGCCACAGCTTCTAGTGGTTGCCCGTTGGCGCCAATTAACTTCGGGCCTTGGTCAGAGGTTTCCTTTTCCAGCTCCTTAGGTAGGCGGTCGGCAAAATCCTCTGACAACAATGTAGCGGCGGATCCTGTATCAATTACAGCGTCCACTGGACATCCATTCACCGCTCCAGGCACCAACATGTCCGCACACTCACTCGCATGTTCAAAGAAGACAGAACACCTAGATCAGGCTATTGTTTTCTGTAGTAGTCTAAGTTTTGCAGATACTGACTTCAACCCCAGGGTTCCACTTCCCGGGAAAATCTACAGAAGCAGATGCAAACGACCCCCCTTCTTTTGTTAATAATGACAACTCTCAGAGAAAGTACTCCCACAGACTGAGAACCCACAGAAAAGGGCACTAGACTAGAGCTATCCGATCTCTAAAGAGCGGTAATAGCATCAGCTACATCCCAGAGGCTAATTCATAGGTTTCTTCTGGGAACTCGCAAGGCCTAGGACTCAGCAATAATCAGTCTGCAATCAGCCACATGCACAGAGCTAACAAGCGCTGCAAATGCGTCAATTTGCAACAAATACAAACTGGCGTATTTTTCCAATTCTTCCTTACCGGCAAGGTCAGGGGACCAGCGAGGATCGCACTGTAGGGGCATCGATTCCACTCCCACCGATGGGGCGGTAGAAACCCTACAGCAATGGCTTCAGCTACAATAGCTGCACGAGCATGAGCAGCTGCTGAGACAGCGCGGCAGGCAACAGCAGCTCTTTTTCACAGCACTTGCTGAACCACAAGGTCACAAACACAAAACCACGAAAAAAACACAAGCCACAAGGGCAGCAGGAAAACTGCTGCCACTATGCCAGCTTCGTCATACAGGTCAAATTCTCCATTGATGCCATGATCAAACGATACTTATCAAACGAGAGAGAAGAAAGTCGTGACTTGCCGTAAAGACGAAGTTGCGAGAGAGAGAGAGAGAGAGAGAGAGAGAGAGAAGGAAAGTCAACGCAATAGTATCTAGTTGCGCCCATGGAAGTCCATGGCCACGAGATTGCTGGTCCCGCATGCAATAGCGTATCACCGTAATAAATATGTGTACGAAGAGCGGGAGCCATGTGGGGAAATAACAGCGTAGACAAAATAAGGGAGGCCTCGTGTGAAGATATAAAATAAAGACGATTATGAACCCGTTTACGGGAGATAGATAAATAATAAAACAACTAAATAAAGCATACTTGTCCCGTAGAGGCCTAAAAGGCACGTGCCAATCGTATGGATACGACAGTTGCGATGGCCCCTTGAGTGTGAACCAGCATAGGATACGGAGTGGCAGTCACTGGGTGGTTGTTTCCCAAGTTTTGCGTTGAAGTCTCCCATCAGGAACAGCAGCGATGAAGACCTTAGTTTTTGAATTGTTTGCAGCAAGCTGTTGTAGAACTCGTCTAGGCATGAATGGTCTGCTGCAACGCGTGTTGACGTCGGGGCGTAGACATTTACAAATGAGCACAGCGTTCTCCCGGAGAGCCATAACTGTAGCACGGCGATACGGTCCGACACCTGCCAATATCTATATATTCGGTGCAGTAACTGCTTTTCCACCACGAATCCGAGTCCATAATGTCGACACGACGACGAGAGACACAGTAGACGGTAGTTGTCAATATTTCCATCGTAGCCTTCGGAGATTTAGTCTCCTGAAGACAGCAGAGTCCAACTCTGTATTTATTGAGGTCTGAAATAAGGATTTTTTTTGAAATTTGAAGTAAGTCCACGGACGTTGAACGTACCAATGCGAAACAAGCCCTCGCCTTTTGCTCCACTACTCAAAATACTTCCACAAGCTTGCCTGTTTCCTGGCGAAGAAGACATTACCCATGGGCCAGCCGAAGCTGACGGCCATGACCGAGCGGCGTCACTCGCTCTCCAAACAGTCTGCTTTACTCTGTAAAATTAACTGCTTCCAGCATGGCAACACTCCGTTGCACCATGCGGCCTGGGCAGAAAAAATCGATGTGTGCCAGCGCTGCTCGCTGCAGGGGCGGGCTGTAATACTCCCTGGAGGGCGCGTTCAGACTATACCGTGAACCCCGTCAAACCGTGAATGCCGATAAACCGTGAAGGACATTCACACTACCGATAACAAACTAACGTTACCGTGAAGTTTTCAGCTCTAACCGCGGCACTGACAAGGGATTTTCCCTTTTTTTCGCAGCGCGCATGCAGCTTGAGCACTTTTTTACTGCCGGTAAAAGTTTACTGCCGCAGCAGCCGCGGCAGTAAAACTTTCCCACCGGTAACGTGCCAGTAACGTCACGTGATCAAATCACCTCGGCGACTTTCCCAATCGGTCACTTTTTATCGGTAGTCTGAACGCGCCCTTAGTAACCAGGGAGTAGTACAATACCATGGTATTGATGTACTACTCCCTGGCTGTAACATCAAGAATGCGGTCAAGGACAGTATGGGTGTCAGGCGAGACCAAAAAATTAGTGATTCCCGGGCCCTCCCGCAAGGCCAATTATTTTGTTTTTTTGTTTTTTTTGAACAGTTCATAATACATGTACATTACTAATCGTGTGAGTAGATCTGTGACCTAGAGTCACACAAACCCGAGCTTGTACGACTTCCTGATGTACAGATCAGAACCATCGTTGGGCGAAATACAGAAAAATTGAACGGGTAAACCGCGTGCCTGTTTTTTGTGAAATTTGAATAAAAAAATAAAAATTACTGGAAAATACTGTAAAAAAAAGCTCGGCATGGCATGCACATATGCGCATACACACAGTCATAGGAAAATAATAATAAATAAAAATTCGCCCGCCCGCACCAATTAATTATTTCACATGGGTCCTGCCCGGGAATCTCGATTTTATTTTGGTCTCGCCTCATGAACCATGATGATTATGGTCTGTGCTTACAATGTACTATCGAGAAAAAACAACTCATGTGTTCCACAGACCCTCACCAAATTGGAATCCTTGCATGAAGGAGCAATTTTCAATCTACTGCCTCCTCAACACTGCAATGTGGGCAGATCTTTGCCCCAGGGTGTTGTGTCTATTGGCTTTAACCCTTTGGAGTCCATGGTTCGATTTCGAACCATGGGCATTTTGTATGCATGGGTGCGCAGTCTAACTTTCGGTTCTCGGCCAAATCGTGACCAAATTCAACAATCGAAGGGTCTAAATGGTAGAGAAAAATCTCAGCTATCACCTCGAACAGGTCTGAAGTCTCTCCGGTGAAGGTTCAGTGAGCGGCGAACAATCAAACATTTCGAATTTTCTGCGCTGCGTGCTGCGAGTCAGCAGTGCGTGAAAAAAATTGATTTTCCCAGCTGAATTGTTTTCCTTTGATCTACAACTGTGACTGTGATCCACAATCTAACTCATTGAGAACTTCTTCCTGTACTGTTGTTTCTTGCGTGTGCATCCAGCGTGGTGACACTCCATTGCACAATGCCGCCAGTATAGGTAAACTCGATGTGTGTCAAGCGCTGCTCGCTGCAGGGGCGGATTGCAACATCAAGAATGAGGTAAAGCACAGTGACATTGAGTGTCATGAACCAGGATGATCATGTTCTGTTTTTGCACTGTACAATTAACGTGCAAACAATCGTCTGTTCCTTGACCTTTATCCGAGTGAAATCTTGTCCTAACCCGAAAATTCTCATCTACTGCCTCCTCACCCCATCAATGTGTGCAAGTCTTTGCCCCAGTTTGTTGTGTCTATTGTTCTCAAAATCGGTCACGCTCCCATTGCTTGGTATAGTGTTGAGAGACGCCATCATGCCAGAATCTTTCACCTCAGCAGGTCCCGACAGAACAATAATTATTATGTTCCATCCATTACACGTATGAGGGGCTAGTATGTCGAAGTACAAAAACTCGGAACGACTTCAGGAGGAGCATACACGAGAACTTCTGGAGCATGAGCTGGAAACAGAAAGGTATTCCGAGCTACATGTATATTGTATCTTGCATTGCCACAGGCTAGTGCAGCACAGACTCTATCCTCGTGGATAGTAGCAAGAGTGCATAAACAAGAGTATGCAACTGTGGTTATGGGTCAGTGCGCGGCTCTCTGGCTTTATTACGTAACTTACCTTCACCACGCTCTGAAAGTATGCACTCAAACCCAAACAGTGAGCAAGTACGGTTGTGAGTGTTGAAATCCGAACTAATATAGTGCAAAGCTGTCACCCTGGACCAGTTCAGATTACATCACTGCACTTGCATATGTGCACGTCTAGCCGCATTCCTACCACATCCTGGGCGTTGATCCAAGTTGTATATCTACACACTGATAAGAAAATATGTCATACATGTATGCTTGTACACTAATGGCAATCATGCAATGAAAATACTGTCTTGGACATGGAAATCCAGTGAAACGACCGGGAACGGCGCTTTCAGTGAGTACAGAGCGTTGCATGCAGTGCACATGTTGATCCGATGCGACCAGTGCACTGCATCTGTTGTACCGTAGACAACGCATACCGAATCAAGGCTGCATGGACAGCGCCTAGGGTCCGCTAGATGTGCGACCGGATTTCCTTGTCCACGGCAGTACCAGACAAGTAGTACCATATGAATTAACTGTTGAATTCCACTCTGCATTGTTTTGCTTTGATTTACAATTGTGATTGTGATCTACGACAAGACTTATCAAGAGCCTTTTCCTGTACTGTTGTTTCTTGCCTGTGCTTCCAGGATGGCGAAACTCCGTTGCACAAAGCCGTCTGGGGTGGAATCGAGGTGTTTCAAGCACTGCTCACTGCAGGGGTGGACTATAACATCAAGAATACGGTAAAGAACCGGATTTAGAGTGCCATGAACCATGCTGATCCTGTTCTGCTTTACTCTGTAAAATTAACTGCTTCCAGCATGCAACACTCCGTTGCACCATGCGGCCTGGGCAGAAAAAAATCGATGTGTGCCAGCGCTGCTCGCTGCAGGGGCGGGCTGTAACATCAAGAATGCGTTCAAGGACAGTATAATAGGGTGTCAGGCGAGACCAAAAAAATTAATGATTCCCGGGCCCTCCCGCACCAAATTGGAGCCAAGGCCAATTTTGTTTTTTGTTTTTTTGAACAGTTCATAATACATGTACATTACTAATCGTGTGAGTAGATCTGTGACGTGGAGTCACACAAACCCGAGTTTGTACGACTTCCTGATGTACAGATCAGAACCATCGTTGGGCGAAATACAGAAAAATTGAACGGGTAAACCGCGTGCCTGTTTTTTGTGAAATTTGAATAAAAAAATAAAAATTACTGGAAAATACTGTAAAAAAAAGCTCGGCATGGCATGCGCATATGCGCATACACACAGTCATAGGAAAAAAATAATAAATAAAAATTCGCCCGCCCGCACCAATTTCACATGGGTCCTGCCCGGGAATCTCGATTTTATTTTGGTCTCGCCTCATGAACCATGATGATTATGGTCTGTGCTTACAATGCACTATCGAGAAAAAACAACTCATGTGTTCCACAGACCCTCACAAAATTGGAATCCTTGCATGAAGGAGCAATTTTCAATCTACTGCCTCCTCAACACTGCAATGTGGGCAGATCTTTGCCCCAGGGTGTTGTGTCTATTGGCTTTAACCCTTTGGAGTCCATGGTTCGATTTCGAACCATGGGCATTTTGTATGCATGGGTGCGCAGTCTAACTTTCGGTTCTCGGCCAAATCGTGACCAAATTCAACAATCGAAGGGTCTAAATGGTAGAGAAAACTCTCAGCTATCACCTCGAACAGGTCTGAAGTCCCTCCGGTGAAGGTTCAGTGAGCGGCGAATAATCAAACATTTCGAATTTTCTGCGCTGCGTGCTGCGAGTCAGCAGAGCGTGAAAAAATTTGATTTTCCCAGCTGAATTGTTTTCCTTTGATCTACAACTGTGACTGTGATCCACAATCTCACTCATTGAGAACTTCTTCCTGTACTGTTGTTTCTTGCATGTGCATCCAGCGTGGCGACACTCCGTTGCACGATGCCGCCAGTACAGGTAAACTCGATGTGTGTCAAGCGCTGCTCGCTGCAGGGGCGGATTGCAACATCAAGAATGAGGTAAAGCACAGTGACATTGAGTGTCATGAACCAGGATGATCATGTTCTGTGTTTGCACTGTACAATTAACGTGCAAACAATCCTCTGTTCCTTGACCTCTATCCGAGTGAAATCCTGTCCTAACCCGAAAATTCTCATCTACTGCCTCCTCACCCCATCAATGTGTGCAAGTCTTTGCCCCAGTTTGTTGTGTCTATTGTTCTCAAAATCGGTCACGCTCCCATTGCTTGGTATAGTGTTGAGAGACGCCATCATGCCAGAATCTTTCAACTCAGCAGGTCCCGACAGAACAATAATTATTATGTTCCATCCATTACACGTATGAGGGGCTAGTATGTCGAAGTACAAAAACTCGGAACGACTTCAGGAGGAGCATACACGAGAACTTCTGGAGCATGAGCTGGAAACAGAAAGGTATTCCGAGCTACATGTATATTGTATCTTACATTGCTGCAGGCTAGTGCAGCACAGACTCTATCCTCGTGGATAGTAGCAAGAGTGCATAAACAAGAGTATGCAACTGTGGTTATGGGTCAGTGCACGGCGCGCTGCCTTCATTACGTAACTTACCTTCACCACGCTCTGAAAGTATGCACTCAAACCCAAACAGTGAGCAAGTACAGTTGTGAGTGTTGAAATCCGAACTAATATAGTGCAAAGCTGTCACCCTGGACAAGTTCAGATTACATTGCTGCACTTGCATATGTGCACGTCTAGCCGCATTCCTACCACATCCTGGGCGTTGATCCAAGTTGTATAACAACACACTGATAAGAAAATATGTCATACATGTATGCTTGTACACTAATGGCAATCATGCAATGAAAATACTGTCTTGGACATGGAAATCCAGTGGAACGACCGGGAACGGCGCTTTCAGTGAGTACAGAGCGTTGCATGCAGTGCACATGTTGATCCGATGTGACCAGTGCACTGCATCTGTTGTACCGTAGACTACGCATACCGAATCAAGGCTGCATGGACAGCGCCTAGGGGCCGCTAGACGTGCGACCGGATTTCCATGTCCACGGCAGTACCAGACAATTAGTAGCATATGAACAAACTGTAGAATTCCACTCTGCATTGTCTTGCATTGATTTACAATTGTGATTGTGATCTACACTCAGACTTCCCAAGAACTTTTTTCCCGTACTGTTGTTTCTTGCATGTGCTTCCAGCGTGGCAACACTCCGTTGCACCATGCCGCCATGAGAGGTAGAATCGAGTTGTGTCTGAAACTCATTGAGAACTGTTTCTTGTACTATTGTTTCTTGCGTGTGCATCCAGCGTGGCAACACTCCGGTGCACTATGCCGCCCAGAGAGGTAAACTCGAGGTGTGTCAAGCGTTGCTCGCTGCAGGGGCGGACTGTAACATCAAGAATACGGTAAAGAACCGGATTTAGAGTGCCATGAACCATGCTGATCCTTTTCTGCTTTACTCTGTAAAATTAACTGCTTCCAGCATGGCAACACTCCGTTGCACCATGCTGCCTGGGCAGAAAAAATCGATGTGTGCCAGCGCTGCTCGCTGCAGTGGCGGACTGTGACATCAAGAATGCGGTTAAGGACAGTATAATAGGGTGTCATGAACCATGATGATTATGGTCTGTGCTTACAATGTACTATCGAGAAAAAGCAACTCCTGTGTTCCACAGACCCTCACCAAATTGGAATCCTTGCATGAAGGAGCAATTTTCAATCTACTGCCTCATCAACACTGCAATGTGGGCAGATCTTGCCCCAGGGTGTTGTGTCTATTTTTTAATTGACCTCATTCCCGTTGCGTACAAAATGTGCAAGATTGGCATATTCTTGAGAGACCCCATCACGCCAGAATCTTTCACCTGAGCAGGTGCAGGCGGTACAATATTATGTTCCATCCATTACACGTATTAGCTGATAGTATGTCGAAGTACAGGTAGACTCCGTCTAATTCGAACCTCAAATTGCCAGGCACTAAATTCGAATTATCTGGAACTTCTAATTATCCAAAATGCAGTCCCATGTACTGATATGTATGTCAAAATGCTCGAAATTGCGTGCTGATTATTTTTGAATATTTTATTTGCAACAACGAAACATAAAAAAATTAAAAATTAAAGGAAATTATCGTGTCCGTTCGAGAAGGGAACTCACGACGGCCGCTAACACCCGGTAAACCCTAGCGGCAGATGCAGCGCCTAACAGTGGGGGTGAGTGGATAAGTCCCACTACCACTGGCACAAGTGCCATAGGTGGTCATGAACAACGAAATCAGTTCATTTCACCAAAACACTGGATCGACATGAAGTCATTGGACATTATTTTCATCTTCTATTAAGTTCTAGTGAAGCAGTTTTCAATCGCTGCAGTTGTCCTGAAACGATTTCAACGCAAAAGAACAGCGCTGCCTTCTCTGCGTCATGAAAGCCCGCCGGAGAGCAGCACGTCGTTCTGAAGAACGGAAGTGGAGCATAGGCATAGACAATGTTTACGACTTTCAGTTGTTGTTCAGTCCTAAACTTCTTTGCGCATGAGCTGGCGCGACATGACAAGCCATTGAGATCCGCGATGGGAGCCAACCACCTGGAAGAAGTCGTCTTCAATCAAATCTTTGCACTTTGCCTTGCACAGGCTTGGATCAAATTTCGAGAGAAGGTGGGTTTCTTAAACGCTATTGTCGATCCTGGAGCGGACCAGGGATCCATTTCTGAGTTACTCTTGGCTAGAGAAGGAGAAAAAATGAACTTCGAATTACGAATAGAGCAACTCCATCTCACTTCGACATAGGCGCTCGAAGGACATAGTCACTGTACTGTAAACTGCTCTTCTGTACGAAGACAGAGTTCGAATTATCCAGCGGGTGCACTTTTCGTACTTCGAATTATGCATTCGAATTTAACTTGAAGTGACTTGCAGAAGATCGGTACGACGAAAAAGTTCGAATTACACGGAATGCTCGAATTATACCGTATTCGAATTAGAGGGAGTCTACCTGTACAAGAACTTGGAATGACTTCGGGAGGAGTATAAAGGAGAACTTCGGGTGCATGATCTGGAAACCGAAAAGCAAAAAGTTGCACAAACTTGTTTCGAGAGCAAAGCACAAAACCAGGGAAGTTAAAGACTTCTGCAAGTTGTGTTTCTCATTTTGTTCCTTGCGCTGCTCTATATCAACATATTAGAGACGTTATGAGTCTCCGACATGTTGACAGGGTGCATGGGCAGGGTGCATGATTCAGTTGACGTGACTTTTCTGGAAATCATAAGTAATACCATATACAGGTGAAGTTCAGGCGCATGAGCTGAAAACAGAAAAGGTTTTCGAGCTACATGTATATTGTATCTTATGTTGGACATTCTGGTACCTCAATCCTCCCAAACGCAACGCAACGGACGACGGGAACGAGTGGGGGGAATCATTTATTATGGTAGACGCAACGCAACGCAACAACTACATTATGTGAGAGAGCTCGACCCAAGAGAGCGATTATTTGAAGAGACAGTTGAGAGAGCAGCAACGCAATATAAAGAGCCTGGGTAGCTATGGCAAACATGGGTGCGCAAGTAGCAGAGTGCATGCTAAACTCCGCTTAGTTTGGCCCTCGGTGGATTCAGTTGACGGAAACTTTTCTCCAGATCATTAGACAGTAACACAGTACGAGGTATGTACTACGAATGTGCATCTGCGTGAACTGGCTGGGTTTCACTGAACCTGCATTAGGAGTACGATATTAAATTACACATGCAGGATAAAAGCAAAAAAATCCATTTTGAAAGTGGCAAAAGCACAAACTCCAAAATTGCATTGGTCCTGTTCCGATCACATCACTGCACTTGCATATGTGTACGTCTAGCCGCATTCATACCACATCCTGGGCGTTGATCCAATTTGTACAACGACACAATGATCCGACAATATGAAATACACTCATAACTTGTTTGTCCGGGCACTGCTCGTAATTTCAAAATGTCCGTAACTCCGAATCACATACATTTTGACGGGGAATGGCCATAGATACGGCAAATGTCGCCACTTTTTCCACAAAAATTGCCAAACGAGAAGTAACGTTTCCACTTAAACTCGCCCAAAGGGTGTCCGGTAGCCTGAAATGCCCGTAACTTTGGGGTCTGGATAACCGAGGTATAAGTGTACATGTATGTCTGTAGTCTCTGTACACTAATAGTAATGGCAATCATGCAATGTAAATACCAGCTGCACAAACTGGTTTCGCGGGCAAAGAACAGAAGCACGGAAACTAAGTCTTCTGCATGCCTTCCTCCTACTTTTGTTTCTTGCGTCACTCTACATCAACATGTCGGAGACGCCGTGAGTGCCATTTAATTTGCAGAGTGCATGGGAAACTCCGCTTGGTTTGGCCCTGGGCGGATTCAGTTTACAGCAACTTTTCTCCCGATCATAACGAAATTATACCGTACGAGGTGCATGGGAAACTCCGCTTGGTTTGGCCCTGGGCGGATTCAGTTTACGGCAACTTTTCTCCCGATCATAAGGAAGTTATACCGTACGAGGTATGTACTACGAATCTGCAACCGCATGAACTGGCCGGGTTTCACTGAACATGCATTACTAGCACGATATTAAATTACACATGCAGGATAAAAGGCCAAAAAATCCAAGCGGCAAAAACACAAACTCCAAAACTGCGGCAGAATCCCCGGGAGAGATCAATCCGGCCTAAAGTGCAAAGCTGACACCCTGGACCAGTTCTAATTACATCACTGCACTTGCACATGTGTATGTCCAGTTGCATTTTTATCACATCCTGGGCATCAAGGGCTGTGCAAGTTCATGGCACCAAATAATGTACTTTGGGTGGGATTTCACCGAGCACAACTGCACAAGTACTTGTATGACATGATGTATATACTGATAGGTGTGTTATGTGTATATTGCAACTGTCTTGTGTTTAGGATGGCCTGACACCACTGGACAGAGCGAGACACTGGAGCCATCATGTGGTTGTAGCGCTATTGGAGAAGGCCACCCCAAAGACATCATGAGACCTTTACTAAGTGTAAAGTGACTATGCACACACTGCGGGTCATTTCCTACCAGATGTAGCAACATGGCAGCTATCTTACTCTGGCAAATCCATAGCTTTAATCGTCACATATGCATGACTTTGCATGTATTTGAGCAATGGGCAGGTAGGACTGCGGTGTTTTCTGGCTGTCCCAGCCGACAATGCCAGCGCATGATACCATACATTTCTAGACAAGCTCTCTTCCATTTCCTCTTCTCTTCTAAGTATCTGTTGCAGATTTTCTTGCACCCTACCCAGTTCTTAACTAGAAGTTACAATGCTTATTTTGCGGACAATTAGAAAAGTTAGAATGTTAGCAAAGAAGTTGTACAATGTCTCTACAGTAGCGCGTCGCTAGCATCTCAATTAGAATCAATTGCCATCATATCGGCAGTGGACAAGTTCCATTTTCATTATTTTCTCCTTTTTATCAATTGCTCGCTTGACTAGGCTATTCGGTATGCTAGCAGCCTTGTGACTTCCATTGCAAACGGCCACCAATTTTGTTTAATTTTGTTTTACCGCAATCCGAAGTTGTGGAGACAAGAACGTGATACTAGGCGGTAATAATATACCGGTATTTTACTACTCCCTGCTTGATACTACCGGTATTATCATTAATCATAGCATGTTGCTACATTTTTCTCTGGCCTGCGGCAGTGTTTACCGAAGTGGTACGCCTTGGCACGTTCGTTGTTTACACTGGCATGCCCTGATGCACACGTACTTGTACGTGTACATGTATATCCTTGTGGAACGACTATCACTGACCTTCTCGCAGTGAATGCACACCTTGTATTGCTAATTTTGCATGGGTTTCATTCATGTCTCTGCGCAGAATGTTCCAGCTTTTCACTGATATTATAATATTGGAGTTATTGGTGATTTTTTCCAATCAATTTCACGCTCTTTGTTGGGCATATCCAGTAGTTAGCCCCTTCATACTTACTGTGTACAACTCTGAGGAAGCGAAACAGTTTTCAGTGAAGAATTTTCCAGCTATGGAAAGCTCGGAAACCCAATGAAATACATGTATGAGAGAGGTTCCCCACTGAGTAGCCACTACGTAAAGTTGAGCAACTTTAGTTGAGCAGCTTTACGCAAAGGGGCGGAGAAAAACCCGTGAACTCGCGAGTTTGCACTCTACTCGGAAAGTGCCCTCTGCTGTCTTGTGCTGTGGACGGGCATGTGCTCGGGGTCTTGCAGGTCACATTCCCTGATCTAGTGAATCGTGTGGTGCAATAATCACGAATGAACCTTGACTACATCTCACATTGATTAGCCACGCCACCTCCGTATTTCATTTAATTTTTAATTTTTCGTTCCACTGCATTTCCGTCAGTACAATAAGCACACGTTGGTAGAGCTGCGGTTGTCATGGTTATCATTGGTCCATCATGGGATGTGTTCGGTGGGTTTGCGGTTCATGCATGCCCACTAAGCTCGCGTTCAGTCTGTCACAGAAACCAGCGAAATTCGAGTCGTATCTTATACGCCATCGAGTACTGATTTGTTGACCCCGCCAGAAACGTGTCCAGTATGTGCACCAGTACAGTATGCACCGGAAACGGGCTGAAACATGCGAGTAGTAAATACTGGTATTTTACTACTCCCAAGTTTCCACACACACACACACACACACACAATCACACACACACACACACACACACACACACACACACACACACACACACACACACACACACACACACACACACACACACACACACACACACACACACACACATACACATACACACACACACACACACACACACACACACAGAACATGGCTTCTGGCAGGGGTACCGTAAAGTACCCCCCCCACACACACACACGCTATGTCGCTTCCCAGTTTCCCAGCTGGGAAGTTTTCGACGTGGGACGGGAATTAGATCAAGGCTGTCGAGTACAGTACAATCTACAGTTGCGCTCGGTGAAATCCGGCCCAAAGTGCATAACTGACGCCCAGTACTGATGCGGCCCTTGATGCCCTCAAAGTTGTACAAGTGCTGGTGTGCACGTGTACCGTATGAACTGTACCAAAGTGTAAAAAACCGCGCCAAACAAAGACAAGTGTAACATTCATTTCAGTTCACTGTTCAGCACAAGTAAAGAAGACGGAGATCGTTTCGGAGCAGTTTATTTCATACACAGAGCAGCAGGGCTTCAATATTTTGTGTGGCCACCGTCTGCCTCGATTAGGGCTTCAACACGACGTGGCATTGACTCCACGTATGGCGGGGAAACCGTGTCAGGAGCCAACGAGAACCACTCCAGGTGTAGTGCCTGCACCAGCTGGTCAGCATTCTCGCAGCGATGTGGAATTATTCTCTTCTTGAGAGTAGCCCACACATTGGGAATGGCCATGTCCTTCTTCTCTATCTCTTCTTGATCTTGAGCTGTACTTCGTGAGGTGAATGAAACAGGAAAGACATTTCGAAATGTTTTTATTTTTTTACACGTGCACTCCGAACTTTTACACGAGGTGCGTACAGTTGAGTTCGTACACACAAATCGCTTGTGATGTAATGGGAGCTGGCTTCGCGGCGCCGGCTTTGCACTTCAGGCCGGATTTCACCGAGCGCAACTGTACAACAACGTGGAGGATCAGACTCAATGTGCTGGATTGTGCACATTTTTCATCCTGCACTGGCATGTATTGTGTACAGCAGTGCATTCGTCGGTTCAACATCGTATTTCGTTGTGTACGCTGAAGTCGCTTCACGAGTAGAAAATCGAGAGGGGGCAGCAATTAGAGAGGGGCGGATCAACGGTACTTTGCGGTACTAGCTTAGTAATACAATTGTCCTCAGCAGTTCTGTACTACTATACAATTCCCAGAAGTGTGCAACTCCCGCACACAGAGCTGTTCCGACAGAGTTTCATTCCAGTTGACATCATGGCACTTTCATAATGCAGTGGTATGGTCCTGAGTGCACGTGCGATTTACGATTTCTGTGCTGAGTTTCCCAGGTGTATTCTTGCACTGTTTTTACGACTCGTACTTTTTTTGCAAGTAATAATAATAATCGATTTCCACAGTTATGCGTCATGGCCCAAAAATTTCTTGCACTTCCACGTGCAAGAAACAGTTAAAGGGGAAGTTAAGGCAAAAATTAAAATTTCACCAGTTGTAGTCTTCGGGGTGCTGAGTCGAATGGTCTTGGTCCGAGGAAGCTGAGACGCTCCCTTCCTACTTGAATCCCAATCGAACTCGCGCACTTCCACCGAAACTGGGTGACTGCGCCCTACTAGATGGGGATTTGTATGTAAAATGTCACTAAAAGCGCCATTTCGTTCTTATAAAAGCACGGATGACCGCGATTGGTCCATATGTTGTAGTCTTTTGGACGCTGAGTCGACTGGTTTTGGTCCGAAAAGGCTGCGATGCAGCGTTCCTCCTTTATTCCCAATCGAACATGGTTGAACAAGCGGTCACGTGCTGCTGCGTACGCCAGTCACCTGGTCACCGTGCCTGCAGGGTACAACTTACTAGCCTGTTTGACCTTTTTTGGGTGCAGTCCTGTCACTCGAGTTGAACCTTGGTGTGAAAGTTGTCACCTGCTGGCGTGGTGACCAGGTGATTTGGGCACCCAGGAGCACGTGACCGCTTCTTCACCGCTTCGATTGGATGTGGCGGCTAGTGGTGTGTGGGGTGGAAGATTCGAGCGTGTGTTTCTTGATGTACGGGTTTTTAACTTTCGCACAATCGAATCGGACCTTCTCACTCACCAGCACGTACCAGCGCTATGAGAAGGAAATGCGTCGACACTATGGCCAACGCGTCAGGGATGTTGAGCATGCCACCTTCCTACTAGGCCATTGGTTTTCTCAGCCAGTGGTGGGAAGGGGAAATCCGCCACCAGCTTCTACAAGCGTGTCGCGTCTCTGGTCTCAGAGAAGACGAAGGAGCCGTACAGCCAGGTGATGTCGTGGATCCGGTGCCGACTATCTTTTGCCCTGCTGAGATCCAGCATTGCTTGTCTGCGGGGCGCACGGCGGATTCGTCCCCTGCCAGCCATGGACACCTCTGTCGTGAGGGTGGTGGCTGAAGCGGCTATCCGGTCCTGAGTTGTGTTCGGTGTCGAAGGCAGTTGTGTTCGGTGTTCAAGGCAGTTGTGTTCGGTGTAGAAAGTTGTGTTCGGTGTAGAAGGCTGGTTTTTGACATAACTCTACTAAGTACATCATAGCTGTAGATTTGGAATTACAATTGTTATTATTTGCCATGGCGACCCCTGTAAGTCCACATAACTGGCAGGGCAGGGTTGGGCCTTTTTCCTTTTTATGGAGGTTTGCACATTGCAAACCGTAGTTAACATTCACGAAACCAACAAGCCAAAGGCGCCATGGCAACCAGTAAACGAACCCGCAAAAATAATAATAATTAGAATAAGAAACAGAAAAAAATCAACGTAGTGTGACAACGAATGCAAGATTTCCTTTCCGGCGAAAGTCCTGCAACCCGCGATATTCATGTTAAAACAAAATGGCGTCACGATTTATTGAAAGTGGTATACCGGTAGTTGGTGGTGCGAGTGTTCAAAACCATTTGAACTTCATACTGTTCGTCTTCTTTTTGACATGCTCTCTTTCCATCGTCCTTAGCTTTTGTTTGTTGTGAGCTGTTTTGGCTTTCTCTTGTACCTCTGGGGGATGCCAAGTGATGGTTTTGAGAGGCTGGTGTTGGCTGTGAGCGAGAGTTTGCCGATCGGCGTCGTCCTCGCTGTAGCGATGAAAATACTAGTTACTGAGCACCTGGCAGATATCACAAGACGTCGGAGCGTCCAGGAGCAAAGGAATCTTGGGTTTTCACTGGAATCTAGGTCCTCCAGCATCGTGTAGCCCACCGTCGGTGAATGGCGGTCCAGAAAGGTCGAACCTGGTCTTCTGCAGCATCTCGCAGTCCTGCGAGGCACACCGTGTACGCCTGCCATGTATTCTACAAATAAAACTCATGCAGTAGTGGACTCTACAGTGATGAGTCTCAGCCTGTATGGTGCAAAATACACAGGAAATGTGACTGGTGTCTGTACACTCAGTGACTGGACGCCAACACCCCAGTCTTCTCCTGCAGGATCTGTTTGACATTGACATTATGCAGTAGGTCGGCATTGACCTGGTTTGGCAGCTATCGTAATAGTATCTGCCTGGTTGGATGTAGCAGGTTGGCGTTTGCTTGTCGTCCAGTCCGGAATTTTCTTGTAACTCACGGTGGGGTACGCGCAGGGTTTGTGATCATCCCTGTTCACTTCAATATTATCAAACACAACGTTCTCTTTGTCACTCATCTTATCCTGAGTGCTGAATTTGCTGACAATATTGCACCACACTTGTCACAACCTACCGCCACTGCTGGCGGTGGCGACTGGTTCGTCAATGGCGGTGACCAGGCTGACTGACTAGCTTCGAGACAGCGGCCTCGTTGTCAACCCCGCGGCAGCCTAAAGGTAGATTTTATCGATCCAGCCTCAGCGCCATGTTGACGATGCCCTAGTGACTGTGTGTCATGGATTGCCTTGCCATCAGCGGTCATTGCCGTCTACCTTGGTGCAGCCCTCAACAACTGGCTCAGCCCATGGGAGTCTCAAGTGGACAAAGTTGTTGCCAAAGTAGCTCAGAAGATTGGTGCATCGTGGTGTAGGTGAGCACATAACTAGGACTTCCCAGCGACTTTTTGTCCAGGCTGCGATACTATGTGACATGCTGTACTGCACATTCTTTTCAGCACTGCAAGGCCGGCAGCTGGACCGACTGCAGGGGCCGCGCACATGCAGGCCGCCTGTTGCCAGTGCAGCATTCTGGAACGTTACTTCCTTCTGAGATCCGTGGAATAATAACTTTCTTTGCTTCAAAGCAATTTGCTTACCTTTCTGTTGTGCTCCCAGTGTCCTTACAACAATAACCTACAGCAATGTTTTATTTTATTTTCCATTCCCCAA